CTGGCCAATTACAGACTATTACGTGGCAGTGCAGAGTGTCACACGACATATGCATGTGCCAGTGTAGATGCAGATGGAGGAGCACGTGACTATAACGTGGTCTCTCATGCACATAGTGCTTCAAGTAAATTAGCTCCAGCTTTTTTATACTCCCTGAAATTGACCGTATTATAGTGCTCTAACTATCTGAAGAGTTTAAAGAAAATTTATCAATACAATTTTCCGTTATTCAAGAATCCGGCAAAAATTCTGGCCAAATGAAGATATTTTCTTGTGTTTGACCTTGTATCTCCACTCACAGACGAAGAAATTTTTTTATACTCCCTGAAATTGACCGTATTATAGTGTTCTAACTATTTGAAGAGTTTAAAGAACATTTATCAATACAATTTTCCGTTATTTAAGAATCCGGCAAAAATTCTGGCCAAATGAAGATATTTTCTTGTGTTTGACCTTGTATCTCCACTCACAGACGAAGAAATTTTTTTATACTCCCTGAAATTGACCGTATTATAGTGCTCTAACTATTTGAAGAGTTTAAAGAACATTTATCAATACAATTTTCCGTTATTCAAGAATCCGGCAAAAATTCTGGCCAAATGAAGATATTTTCTTGTGTTTGACCTTGTATCTCCACTCACAGACGAAGAAATTTTTTTATACTCCCTGAAATTGACCGTATTATAGTGCTCTAACTATTTGAAGAGTTTAAAGAACATTTATCAATACAATTTTCCGTTATTCAAGAATCCGGCAAAAATTCTGGCCAAATGAAGATATTTTCTTGTGTTTGACCTTGTATCTCCACTCACAGACGAAGAAATTTTGTTATACTCCCTGAAATTGACCGTATTATAGTGCTCTAACTATTTGAAGAGTTTAAAGGACATTTATCAATACAATTTTCCGTTATTCAAGAATCCGGCAAAAATTCTGGCCAAATGAAGATATTTTCTTGTGTTTGACCTTGTATCTCCACTCACAGACGAAGAAATTTTTTTATACTCCCTGAAATTGACCGTATTATAGTGCTCTAACTATTTGAAGAGTTTAAAGAACATTTATCAATACAATTTTCCGTTATTCAAGAATCCGGCAAAAATTCTGGCCAAATGAAGATATTTTCTTGTGTTTGACCTTGTATCTCCACTCACAGACGAAGAAATTTTTTTATACTCCCTGAAATTGACTGTATTATAATGTTCTAACTATTTGAAGAGTTTAAAGAACATTTATCAATACAATTTTCCGTTATTCAAGAATCCGGCAAAAAAATCAGCGCCAAATAACAAAACTTATCCTTGTGTTTCAGGTATTGCCTAGTGATCGCTATGTCTATATTACTTCACAGTGGTATATGTGGAAGTTGGTATTATCCTGTTAATATTTGCCGAGTTTTGTGGACAGTTGGCCATGATTTCAAGTGATATTTTGGAAAAGTTTGGGAAATTTGCAGCGCGATTATCCGGCAAAAATCCGGCAATTCTGGTCTCAAGTACTTCTGCGCGCCGCAACCGAATCAGATTTAAGTGCACTTTTTTCATTGTAAACACTACATACGACGCACAACACGTTCTACGAGGTCGAAATTTTCGAGGTCTCTAACACCGGAATGGAGCAATATTTAGACGATCTGACACTTTCTGGGGCTTAAGCAACCTAAGAGAAATTAGGGGAACAACTCAGAAAAAATTTTTAGTCGATATTCCGGTGTCTGTAGATGTTCGAAGTTTTGGCAGTAAAGTGCTCACAACACAGCTTCTGAAGGCTCTAGAAGGTTCCCGATACCGTCAGAGTGTTCAGTACACTCCATTCTATCATATAAGAACCCTAAAAGAAGTCCCAGGGCTCGAGCAGAGAAGTGCAATATTTGCCCGTAAGAGCCTCTACTATTAAGCAAGCTGTACCACACATAGTTGAGCCACTGACCCACATTGTCAATCTGAGCCTTAATACAGGTGTTGTACCAACCCTTTGTAAAAAAGCTAGAGTAACTCCCATCCATAAGGCAGGAATGAAAGATGATCCTAATAATTACAGGCCAATATCCATCCTTCCACTTGTAGGAAAACTTATAGAATACTTTGTCGGCAAGCAACTCACTGATTACATGGAAGAGAACAAACTTTTCATCCGGCATCAATATGGCTTTCGGAAAAATCACTCCACAACTTATCTGATGTACGATCTGATGGACGAAATATATATGAGTAAATCTAAGTCTTATAAACCAGGAATCATCTTTCTTGATCTTAAGAAGGCCTTTGACACAGTGAATCATGAAATATTGCTTCAAAAATTGGCATATTATGGAATTGGTGGCATTGCTTTAACCTGGTTTAAGAACTTCTTATCTTGTAGATATCAATGCACTAGGATCAATGGCAATCTAAGCTCATTTTTAGAAGTTCTGAGTGGTGTACCACAAGGAAGCATCATTGGGCCTATATTATTTAGTATCTTCATAAATGACATCATTTATGCCTGTAACCTATCTAAGCCCTTTCTATTTGCAGATGATGGTGCACTATTCTTTGATCAAACCTGCAGAAGCACATTTATAAACATGAAAATAGAACTTATGACAATCTTTAAATGGCTCAGTGTTAATAAATTATCACTCAATGAAAAGAAGACTGAATTCCTATTGTTTGATTCTGTTGACCAACATGATGAAATAACCATTGATTGTAATGAGGTAACTTTCACAATCAAGGAGTGCAAAGAGACAAAATATCTTGGCCTCATTCTAGATAGTAAATTAAACTTCAAAAGCCATGTAGATTATATTATTAGGAAGGTCATGAAGAGAATTGGTGCCATGTATAGAAGTAAAGCACTGCTACCCATTAAATATAGGAAAATGTTTGCCAATGCACTCATGTTGCCACAATTCGATTATTTAGACACGATCTATTGTAGAGCTGGCAAGACAAAACTTGCTGAACTTGACACTCTGTACAAAAAGGTAGCCAAAATAGCTCTCAACGTTCCAAAAACAGAGAGCAGCCTTAATGTTTATAGAGACATGAAATGGTTACCACTCCATCTTAGACGACAACTCCATCTGTCAAATTATATGTTTAGAATCATCCATGACAATTGTCCTACAAACTTTATGAACAAATTTAGTTACATATCAGGAGGTAGTAGGAGCGGCGAAAGCTGCAACCTTTATGTCAATAGATCAACATCACATAAAAACTTTCAATACTTGGGGGCAAAATGTTGGAATAATGTTCCAACAGATCTACGAAATCTGCCCGATGTTAAAAGCTTTAGTGATTCGTATAAGAAACAGCTACTATCATCTATAACAACAGACCCTAATTATACCGTCGACAATTCATATGACAAATTTTACACTGCAATCATAGTCGCCGATAACTAAGTAACTTCTAATTCTTTTAAATCTGAGGCATATATAATTGATGTATCGAAAAGATATTCCCTTTTTTACCACCTTACCATTCTGATTGATTTTGCACATGACTGACATGTTTTAACTGGAGAAGGGGTTCCCACAGTGGTAGTTTTATAAACCACTTTTAATTTATTGACCTATTATACTTAGTGGTAGTTTTATAGACCACATTTAATTTATTAACTTATCATACTTAGTATTTTTTTTGGTGACTGTATCACCCAGTTTTAACATTTGATAATTGTACAGTTTATTGACGACACATTGACTGAATGTTATTTTATATTCTAATTTATATTCTAGATATTTTATTTATTTTACAACAGACGACAACTTCCTGTTTTTTCTTCTATATTAGTTACTCATATCTCTTGTACAGACTTTTTACAAGGACATTGACAAATGATACTCACATTAGGCATTCATTATTGCATCTAAATTATTTCACTTGCATTAGGCTTAGAAATTTATTCTCTGGTCAACAGATTTCAAATGTTTAATTAATTTGTAGTATGACAGTAAGGTATATAAGAAGTTATTTAATTTTGCTTGGGCTATTATATTGACTAGGTATTGAGGTTTAATGATGATATGGAATTTGAATTCTATATAAATTTACACTATGTGGTTGGGGCATTTTGCATAGTAAATATGGTTACTACTCATATATATCATATTATTTGATTGGTATTCGATTTCTGATTATTTCTCTAGGAATATGATTATTATATCTCAATTTGGCTTTAGGTAGGGTGCCCCGCTAAAAGAACTGGATTCTTCCAGGAAGCATCCCGTGCACAGAGCTTGGTCTACATATATATTAAATTATTAACCATTCATTCTGTATGTGCACGAAAATTTATTTCAATCAATGATGTGGAACACTATCAAATGCTTTACAAAAATCTAAGTAAAACACATCTACGGGTGCACCATCTTCTAATAGTTCGATGATACATTCTACACTCTCTAATAGATTAGATAAACAAGATTTACCTTCTACAAATCCATGCTGGTTTGGATTTATCTTCTTACTAACAAAACTCATAATATGCCTCCTTACTAATTTTTCATATAATTTACACAAAATGCATGTAAGTGACACTGGCCTGTAATTTAGGGCATCTTTCCGACTACCCTTTTTATAAAGAGATGTAACATTTGCTGTCTTCCACTGTTCTGGAATTTTTCCACTTGAAGCACATGTTTGAAATAATTTAGTCACAGCAGAAACAAAACTTGAATTATGTTCAAGTTCTTTTAATAATTTAGGATGAATGCCATCTGGCCCTTTACTTTTACTAATATTAATGCTTTTCAGTTCTCTGCCAACATCATCCATTGTTATCTCAATATTTTCAATGTGTAACTCATCTGCAATAAAATAACATTCTCTGTTCAAAGGTCCATCTGGTTCTTTGACAAAAACTGAAGCAAAAGCATCAGCCAATACTTCGGCAGTTTAAAAATTACTTTTGGTCAAAGATCCGTCAGGTTTTTCCAGGGATGATACACAACTTTTTAACACTCTTTTCCCTCTTAAATATGCATAAAATGGCTTTGTATTATATTTCATACACTGTGTAATTTTTCTTTCATAATTAACTTTACACTTAAATGACTTACTATCAAACTGTCCTTGTTGGTTCAGTGCAACATTAAGATTTTCAGAAGAAGGATTATTATCAAAAATATACCAACATTTATCTGTCTTTTTCCTGCATCTTTTTAAGGATGAATTTGCCCAAGGCTCACATTTAAAGTTCTTTTCCGTCGGAACTATATCAGATACTAAGTTAAGCTTTGAGTGTAACTCACTCCACATATCTTCAGAAGTTAAAGTACCCTCACTAAAAGACCAGTCAATTTCAGCTGATCTGTGTAACAATTCTTTGCCAGAGACTTTTCCCCATAACTTTCTAGGCTCCTTTGCAGCCTCATCATCTTGCTTACTGTTACTAAGACTTAGATTTAATTCTACATTAAAACAAACATGATCGCTCTTCCCCAAGGGGGAGACAATCATTACTTCATTGACAATAGCTTTGTTTGTAGAGAGAACCTGATCTAGTGTACTCTCTTGAAGTTTACCGCTGACAACTCTACGTCTGGTAACTTCATCTGTGATATACCAAACCAAGCCATTGTCTTGTACACATTCCATAAAATTCTTTTCTATAATTAAACCCTTATTACTTGTTCCTAAAGGAGCATTAACAGTTCCACTAAGCCAAGATACATTTGGTAAATTTAAATCTCCAACTAGGATTGATTCAACATTAAAAACAGCTAGTTTTGCAATCATTTTGGTCATCGCATTGTTCTGCGCTTTAGAAAGAGACATTGATCTATAAATACATGCAATATTTACCCTACCAATGTTGCTATCGAATTCAACAGCAATCGAATCAGTGACCCTAAACCAATCTATGACAACTGGGTTCAAAGAGTCTTTAATATAAATAATACAGCCTCCACCACTACTAACAGAACTTTCTCCTACTTCTTCATTAACTGTAAAATCTCTATCTTTTCTAAATATTTTGAAACCAGGTATGCTAATTTCAGCATCAATAATTTCATTGTTAAAATGAGTTTCATTTATGCAAACAATGTCAGACTGGTACAGCGAAACAGCATTTCTCAATTCACAAAACTTATTACATAAACTATTACTGTTACTATAAAACAATTTAAGGTTTAGGCATTCTATAGCTTTGCTTTCTCTGCAAGTCGCTTTCTCCGTTCCTGTCTCACAAAAAATTGGACGTCTCTGTCAGCTCTGTTCAGATCCTGATTGATCCAATAAACTTCTTTCTTCGTTTTCTCAGAATCCACTTCTATCTTCCAACCTTTCCCATAGTTACTCCAATACAATGCAGCCTCTTTTGATTTTAGTTTTACAATCAGCGGTCTAGGTTGATGTTCTCTGCTTTCACCAGATTCAGTTAATTTACCTGCCCGAAAACAGGACACAATCACGTCTTCTTCCATGCCACAAATTTCATGTAAAAACTTGAGATCATTGCTTTGAGATCTGTTCTCTTTGATAGCCGTTTCGGGAACGTGTCTAATGATCACATTGCATTCTCTTTTGATCCGTTGGATCTTGTCAGCATCAATCTGTTGGACTGTTGCCTTCACTAATTGAGTTGGTGGCTTGTCACTAATAGTTGCCTGGAGGTCAACCTTCGCTGCATCAACGTAGCTCTTCACTTTTGAAGATGATTCATTGACTATATCTTTTTTGACAGCAGCCATTGCGGTTGGTAACGCGTTCTGCAGACTGTTTTTAACAGCATTGGTAATCGTTTCATTAATGGTTTCACTCAACTTGATCAGCATTGTTGTCGCATTGACAATGCAGTGTGGACACTTATATTGTTTGATCAAAAGCACCTGGGGCTAGGTGGCCTAGTGGTTAGAGCATCCGCCTTCTGCGCAGAAGGTTCAGGGTTCGAATCCCAGTGTCACCTAGTCTAGGGAGTAGCTAAGGATCCATTGGATCTATGCAACCTCCTCGGTCGACTCAGCCGAATGATAGGAAACTTAATTGAGGGTTAAATGAGGAGGAGTACCTGTTAAAAGTTCAAGAAACTTCCTAGGATACCCCTTCAGTGCATACTGTAAACATAGTACTGTTACCTGAACCTCGTCAAGTCCTGTCAGTCCAACACAATCAAGATGACACCATTTGATGCAGCAATCACATCTAATCCATAGAGAATCTTCAATGTGTTCCTTGCAGAAACAATCTTCTTCAGGTTTAGTAATTTCTTCTTCAGCTTGTTCATTCGTCTCTACATGTTCTCTACTGGCTGGGGCACTATCAATGTGCCCCGTTTGCCCGTCATCGTTTTCCATCCCTGAACTCAATAAATGTAATAGATTTGTAGTGTTGTAATTAGTTTAACCAGTAGGTTGGAGAGTTTTCACTCGTCTGAATCCCCTGATAGATGTTATGCACGTGCTCAGCAAATCAAATTGCAGTCTGCATCTGATGTAGGACATCACATAGCGGGAGTAGTTGGCGGTCGTTTCACCACTGAATGTTATAGTCATGAAAAGTTGACGTGATGTATGTTCAATGATAAACACAGTCACATGGAGATCACATTACGTGGAGTGTTTGGTAAGATATGTTCCATACCGGTGGCACGGTGGACAGGTCCCTGACACCATATTACAGATACTATGATCTAAATGTACCACCAGACCTAACGTTATGCCACTGATTCAATGACATAATTAGTAATTACCTGGAGACCTCAGACTGAAATGTATAAAACATCGTTCAGTGACGACGTGAAAGTATTTTATTGCTTGAAAGGGGCATATCTTAATATTAAACTTGTTACTATACTGTACCATCATGTACTGTTATGAATTACAAACTGCAAATATTTCTAGACTAGTTGGGAAAATAAAGATAGCGCTCGATTCTGGAAGAACTGTGTGACGCTATGCATAATATTATGCACCAATGGGCCGCGCCGCGCATCAAATAGTGCTTATCGCTTCCATCAGTAATCAACAAATTAAATAATTAAATCGATAACTAGCCAACGAGCTAAAAAAGATCAAAATCTACAATCGAAGAAAAAATAAAATCATTGTGCGATCAATACATTTTGCTGCGTGGCTCAAAATTTGGTCACTGCTATATAATATGTAATAATGTAAAAATGATTAAAATTTTGCTTAGTTGCGTAAATGGTAAACAGTAAACTAGTTAACATTCTTTACGTTAAATATGCGTATACAGTTTGGATTTAAACATTTTATTATAACATGAGTAGTAGAGATACTATTTTATTTTATTTTGTGACTTTCGTTGACAGCATATATAAAAGCTTACTGGGCGGTGCTCAGCCTGTCTGCTGTCATTCCGCCGAATCTCTATTATAGTATAATATATATATTACTAGAACTTAACTATACTATTATATGTTTATGAACATAATAGTATAGCCTGGGGTCCCCAAGTAAGTAAAACAAAATTTAAATTTTATTGCCATTACAATGAATAATAATATCATAATAAATATAAGTAGACATCTATGGAAACGCATGTGTGTCAAAAAAATAATGATACACATGCGCTTCCTAGGTAGCGTATGTGTGTCAAAATTTTTTTTGATACACATGCGCTAGCAGGTTTATCATGTATTTCATTAGGTGGCCCATGTGTGTCATTTTTGTAAAATTGCTGTAAAATCTCTATTTAATATTCTAATCGCTATCTTTATCTATTTATATATGTATTTTATCCTTATCTCTATTTTATCTTTAAACTCCTCTCCGCTCGCCTCCCGTGTGAAACGAGCGCGCCTGCACGCTGCAGTGGCGCGAAAGCACATGGTTAGGTTAAAGCGCGTGTACTGTTGCTGCACAGGCTATAATGTCAACAAATTTTTTGACACACATACGCTACCTAGGAAGCGCATGTGTATCATTATTTTTTTTGACACACATGCGCTTCCATAATACGTACACATCAGCTCATAATACTAAATAACAATAATAAATAAATTAAAAGCATGAAGAGGTCCAAAACCAGTTCAAGCATGCGACACCAGGATGAATACATTAACATCGGAAGCTGCAAGCTTATTAACGTTTGATTCCACGTTGATCCGTTATTATGAAGTCACCTTCAGGCGGTGTCGACGGATCATGCGAAAAGGGTTTTTGACAGGCTGTGCCCTTACCATAATTAAACTGAACCATTGCCTGCAGGTACGATGTAAACATGAGTGGTGGATAAGAGAGCCGCGCAAGCGCTCGCGCGCGCATTTGTGTTGCTCTGACAAATAGCGCTTAAATAATTTAGCTACCAAGACGTAAATTGCGCGTTACGTAAAGTATCATTTTTCCTTTCGGATAAAGCGAACGGTACACCCGCGTGTAACCTTCTTCAATGGGTTGTGTGCGTGTTTAGTGGAGTGAGTGTATAATGTAATGATTGAATGAATCTTTTTATTTTGTGGTGTATATATATGATGTGAGTGACAGGTGTAAAATTTCACATAGCCATGTGTCTACGCGTACTGCGTGACGCGCTTGTTTCACAAGTAGATTTTGCCGCCTTCGGCGGTCGCGCGCTACTGCAAGCGAGAGGGCTCTGGTTAGAGCAAGTGTAAAATGTAAAAGATATAAATATAAATGGGGGTCTTTTCATAGGAAAGTGTTGAAGTTTAAGTCCTGCCAGTTATAATATTGTTAGGTTGGTGTTGAGCCTTCATGATAGAATACTTCAATTGGGATTTAATTGAGCCTAGTGAACCTATTTTGATCCCAATTTAACAAAAAAAATTTGTATTTGTTATATTACTTTAAACTAGGGCTGGTGCATGGTCAATGGTGGGCTTAATTATTGTTATGTTCCGCGCTCAGCCTGTCATTCCGCCAAATCTTTTATATAATAGCTTGGTGCTTGGGGTTCCCAGCTAAAAATATCTGATTGATATAATATAATCATTTATTAAACTATAATTCAAATGATCTTGATAAACGTTTAAGTATTTTTGATTATCTTTTGTAAGTGCATACAAAGCTGCACAGTTGATTTATAAAATGTATTTACATGTTACAATTTTGCTTTGCACGCCATTTTTGATTAATCCTCTGCACTGCGCGGCTTTCTCCCCCACTTTTTTCACATTAACGAAAAGATCGAATATTAAGTAATTTAACAATTAAAGCTGCTGCAGAATGACATGATAACGGCACGCTACTTCAAAAAAGGCCGAAAATATAAAAAATATTAGAATTATAATATGTAGCAACATTTGTTTAATATAATGGCCGCACAGATGCTAAAAATTTAACTTTTAAATCAATTAGTTGTAATCCATTGACGTTGGACTTGTAGCGCAATGAATTATTGGGCCACGCCGTGCATCAAATAATATTTTTCGCAACCACTTCGTTAATACTTGTTGTTTCAAATATTAGACGGTCGACGAGTCCAACTCAGCGCGCGTCTTGGCAGGTTATATGATGAAATTCTTTTAAAAAATAAGTGGCTACAATGAGCATCTTTAAAAAATTAAAGATATAAAGAATTACTACCCTTCAAAATACTATTAAAAATGTTCGTGTATCAAAATATTTGACTTTACCAGTCTCTTGACGTTTCAAAATGAAACTAAGGTGAAAATGCAGTTACAACAGGACACTGGTTCTTTATGATTACTGAAAGAAATTATTTCAAAATGTTATAGTTCTAAACACTTCATAAATGCTTTTCTGTGAACTAAAGAGATCATATCGAAAAACTATTCCCCTGATATTACGACAATATTTGTAGGTTTACAACCTACCAGGACGCGCGCCGAGTTGGACTCGTCGACGGTCCTGGACGGTCCAATATATGGAACAGATATTTTACGAGTATCACCCGTTAAGACAATATCTGAATTAAAGATGTTTCTTGTCGAGTAAACATAGTCGAATATCATTTTACTACACCTCAACATGTTTGTTCGTTCATACTTGTACTATAAGTAACATAATTAGCAAAATATTTAATGCTATAATAAATCTCGTAAATTCTAAGAATAAGAAAACTTCATCTTTTTGACAGATTAATCTTACGCTTAAGATTTAGTCCCTGGCTTTCCACAATTTCAACACAGACACTTATAAAAATAAAGTATGATGGAGGCCTGCTCAGCTGCTAAGTCGACAATGGACTTTCCACTATTTCACAGAGTGATGATGCGTTCAGCTTGACACTGTAGATTCCTATCTACTAGCTGACAGCTTAAAAGTAGGTGCAGAGCTGTTTGCTCATCCAGGCCACAAATACATAGCGGAGAATCCACTGCCTTATCAACTCTGAAGAGAAACGAGTTCAAAAGATTGTTCTTGTACAAAAGACTCATTATCAACACTTCCACCTGGCGGCTTACTCCAAAGGGGATTGGAAGACAGCTGCACGAGACTCTTGGAATATCAGACCATCCTTCCATAAGTAGTAGGTTTTGTAGACTTTCTTGCCAAAGCAACTCTGAGGATTGCTGTATTATTCCCTTGGTGTACTTGTAAGTCTTTGGGGATAGTAGCAGGTAGGTTATAAACCTATAACCACTTCGTTAAATTGATGCAATGCACTACCGGTGACTAGGCCGGGCACCAAGCTTCAAAGGATTAACATTGTCAATCAACTCTCTCTCTCTCTCTGTTCTGGTCAACAGTTTCTGGCCTCCTACTTAAAGAGGGAGGTCTTATCACCGTGCCCATAGAATGCAACTCCTGCTAGCTACATGCAGTGGTGTAACGTTGCCTGTTAGCGCCCCCCGCCGAAAAGGCGCCCCCTCCCCTTTTGGTACCCCTCCCTAAAATTGAACAAATTAGGTGATTTTAGAGGATACGCCGGTAAAATCTCTAAAAGTTAAGTTTTCGAAATTGTCCCACATTCAAACGACGATTTGGCGCCCCCTAAGACGGCGCCCCCTGCACAGCGGGGTCAGCGGGGCCCTTCGTTACGCCACTGGCTACATGCCAGGACTCCCAAAGTATATACGAATTACGAAATCATAAAATAATAAATATCAATGCAACAGACCTCTGGAGTCTTGAAGCTGTCACTACCTGTCTCAGAGCAAACCCACTTCCAATGTAGTAATTCAGTGGGCAGACAAAGGACTTCCGAGCAAGGCCATCTCCTGGAATTGGTGCTTCTATTAGGTTTTTTCCTGGAATTATGTTATTTCCTGATGTGATTTCCTGGAATTTAGGTTATTTCCTGATGTTAAATCCTAGAAGGTTACACAAAGAGATCTTCCTTTTCTAATCTTTTTGACTGTTCCACAAATTTTATGATGTGGTTGATTTTGCTGTTGATAATTTCCTCCATTGTGAGAAGAGGTCTACCAAATATCCTCATTCTGATAGTCATCAGCTGTACACATTCACAGAGGAAGTGCTGTGAAGTTTCTGCTTCTCCTTGGCAGTGTTCGTCAATCAACTCATCAACCATCAACCATGTTATTTCAAATAGTCACCATACGTTGCAGTTTTGTGAAATTTAGAAAGAAAATGTTAAGTTTAAATTATTGAAACTATGATTATGAGTTATGAGTTGAGTAAAAACAGTATTGAGGAATCGTTATACATGATTTGATAATACAATAAAACTTTGTATGCCGAGTTCTCTAGTAAGAGGAAAAGTGAACGGTACAGAAAATTACTCACAATCTTATTCGATCAACACTAGTATCTGTAGCCCCTTAAATAAATAACCTGTCAAGTGGGCATTATATTATATAAACACGTGCTGTGACAAATAAAATAGTGATGTAATAACCTTTTCTGGTCACATATTTTGCTCATTAACATAAAATTATATACATCATCAAAATTAATGTAGTGACATGTTTAACACTTAATATCCATACAAACAGAACAAGAAATATTGTAAGACATATAAAACAGAACATTCATCATTTTTGAAAGATAATTGAATTGTGTACAATAAGATTGTTTAATATTAATTAATATCCATTATCCATTTACTATCGATTTTTATTTTTAACTGCCCCTAAGAGAGATTTCCATTTGTTTGTCACATCTTCTGATGCTCTTCTTCTGTACGATATGGTTTTCCATGCTTTTGACCAACGTTCTGATTTTTGCGGTGTCTGCAGCTGGGGTTCTGGATCTAACAAAAAATTGTTATGTCAGCCATTAATATCGAATTGTTTTGTTAAAGTATTAGTGTTTTTGCAATTAAAAGGTATTTCTTAAAATTAACCATGTACCTGTTTGCTTTTTTGGCATCTGACATGGGTCAGATGCTGTGAATCATAGCTCAATGAATTGAACTAATTACACAAATAAACCAGGTTTGTGAGGGTTTTGAGTTTTCCTTTGCACAAGTTGAGATGCTATTTGTCTCTGCTTCACAACCATTCCAGCTGATTTCCACAAGTTATTTTTCAAATCTGTACCCTCTATCTTCTAGAAATGATAATTTAATTAGTGAGCTTTAGAAATGAAAGGAATTTTGTAACAAATTTCCTAATAAGAAAGTGTAATGTTATGATCTGCATTGATGTATTTGTGACTATTATCTACTGGTAATCTCATTCTATACAAGTCAAACGATTCGATTTGTCATTTGATGTGACAAGTTTCAATGTTATGTGTGGATGGGTAAAAATTAATTACAAAGCATGACCATGTAATCGTAAGTGCTGACTAGGAGTACAACTATATGATCACCTCAGCACTGTTTGTCTCTAATATATTTAATTAACAGATCGCATGATATCGTTTTAAGAAGGGCTTAGTTCTATTGGCAGTAAGTTTATGGTTTCAGGTAAAAATATATCTAGCTCATATTTTGCCATTTGCTCAAAGTTTCATGAGAGCGCATCCCAAATATTATGCAGTCTGCTAAGTAGTATTCAATCTTAACTTTTCGTCACAAGCTCAACGCAGAAACGTTTTCTGTTAACCAACAACATAGAGCTAATTATGTGTAACTAAATCTAATTTAAAAAACTGGATGCTCTTACCCTGTCATCTGAAGGACCCTTATCTTGCATTTTGATGATATTAGATCTCTGAGATCTGGTAGACGAGGGCTCCATCACTAAAACTCGCCTTTGGAAACGAATAGCTGGCAGCATCCTCTTACTTGCAACCTGATTGTACAACAAATGTACAATGTACAAGAAATGTTAGGAGATGAAGAGTGGTCAAATTATTGCTCCATTAGCTTATATCCGAGTTTTGTACTAAATCGAAATTCGTTGTACCGGTTTACAATAATTAGTAATCACAAAAATTTGTACTTTTAAACCTTCCAATTTTCATTGCTTGCTGATGCAGGTGTCGCAGCTCTTGAGTCACCAGTTTTAATTGTGTTATCATATTTCTGAAATAATACTCTATTTCATATTTCGGTAGTTAAAGGAAAACAGTGCCGCAATTATATTTAAAAAAAGAAGTAAATAGATAAGGTATCCAGTTGTATAGGAAATATAAAACTTGAACTACCGAATCACAGAAAAATAACAGTTTATTAAAACATGCCAATACGTCACATTAAACCTTTTTGCTAGTTTAATTCTTTAAAAGCTTTTTTCTGTGGAAGTAAAAGAATAGATTCAAGTCGATTTTAAAACTAATTAATTCAGCACCTCTGGACAGATCTAATCGACCTTACAACATCTTCTGACAATTGAAAAATTTATGTCGTCCTCATTTCACTCAGATTAAACAATATACATATACATTACTTCTCTACCAATACCCAGGATTCCTAATACCAACCTAAAACCATGATGCCTTATATCTACCTAAACTTTCACGATGATCCGACACACAAACTATGATAACAATAACGAGACAATTCTTTACTATCAAGACGAAATATGATTAACCTCGAGTGGTTTTACAATGCTAAACACCTCTACACAATTTCACTGTAATTAAATACTGATTAAAGATCTGTGCGCATTCCTGGCATTAATCTCACGAATTATCTTCTTCTTTTTTGTACTCTACAACCCCGTACAAATGCCACAAATCCTTAATCAATAATTATAATCGCTTGCTATAGATAACGATATTATATATTTTGATAATTGAAAGTTTTCGGTATCTTTAAATTGACTATATCTAAATATAAAATTAATAAAATATGTAATTGATAAAATATGTTTAATAAATTGTGTTTATAATTATGGTACATTGTTATTATATTTATATTTTAGGCTGTAAACTTATTAGTCCAATGGAATAAACCTAGCATGCCTTGGTTGCAGCATCGCTTCACTTATAGGTGCATATAGGGCCCGATATAATTGGTATTACCAGTTTACTGGTCAACTGGTGTTTCGGTGTCCCTAATTTTGTTTACACTCGGTCACTTGTCAAGGCATGTAAGGTCATTCAGCGAATTTTCTTTGAAATAAAATGATGTATTTGTGTAACTATCTGGATTCTGGTCCCTAAATAAGCTATTTCAGCCTTGAAATCTCGAATGTAGACGTTTGAAAAAAATACTGAAAGATCGCAGAAAGTGCACTATAAACAGCTGCTATGAGATATTTCCTGCTTCTTTCCAAGAAAATGGGTCATAACTCTTATCCCCAAGTAGTTACGGGTCTGTTAGAAAATCACCACAGAAAATTTCATGCATGATCTGTGTCGGTAATTTTGATCCTGTTGCCTATTAAAACTGAATTAAACTGACCGAGTGAATTGTAGAAGGCTTCCTCTGAACAACTCTTAACAGTCTGTTCTGCTCGCCAGATATCGAAGAACAGCTGGAATGATGACTATCACTACTTTGGGATGAGATCTTGCTACTGCTAGTTTTTTCTTTGTCATTGGTGGTGTCCACTTTTTGATTGTAGACTTCTTCTGCCATAATAAACCTGTAATAAATGATCGAGTTGATTGCTAAAAGTTGGGTTATTTTAATGTCGTGCCATAACAATTAGATAATTCAACGCTACAGGTAAATTTAGTTGAGTCCACTAATTAACAAAGAAAGATGTGCCGACATATAAAATAACGCTTAACTTCTCGTTGTACCCACATTAATTTGTACCCACACAGTTTTAAATTAAAAACTGTGTTTTGTCAGTCTAGTGTGGGTGTATGATTAATAAACCCAAGAAGAGGTGATGTGACGTGAGTAAAAGCACATAATTTACATTTAGAATAGATTACATAATTAGAATAGATTGTTTGTAACGAAGTATAATATTTATTCAAATTCCTGCACAAGTCATAAAATATTCATAAATCATAATATTGAATTCCTGGTAATGTGACGAAGCATAGAAATATTACGCAAATGTAATATTATCACAGACTTGTAATAAGTTAAAGCATCCAACAAACTACATAAAGACATGATCTAACCGAAACCAATGCTAAAACCCCTCGCTAGTAACCTTATCAACACTTCAACAAAATTACAACGAGGCATAACTTAATTTTCAGCGCGCTTCACTCAACGCTACATTGAATACTTGGAGCACATTTCGTTCGTCAGTATTTTGCAAGATGTTTAATATTATAATTGTCTCCGCCCTGACTTTGTCCTTCATACTGCCTGTGACAAGCGAAGAGTTGACTGCTCTCAAATTCGGAGATGATGGCTACAGTCTAATCTCGTTACAACCTAACATGTCACCACTTACTGACAAGTTTACAGTTTGTCTTTGGTTTAAAAATGTATTTGCATGACTACAGAGGTGACAATCGTCTGTTTGGAGCATATAAATCCCTTCCTAGTGAGTTCATAACTCCAATGAGAGTATGGACCCACTATTGTGGAACATGGAGTGTTGCTTCAAGGACGTACCGAGCCTACATCAACGGTAAACTAGCTTACTAGCTGGTTTCCAGATCACAGCCTCTGGAAGAACATTGAAAACAGGTGGAACTCTGGTGTTGGGAGATTATAGAGATACTGCAGTTTCCGGTCACCACTTTGGTGGTGATATGTTTAGGTTCAACTTCTTCTCCAAAGAGTTAACTGGGACTGAAGTTGCAGCAATGTCAACAGATGGGCTCTGTACAAAGATCCCTGAGGAGCTGGAACAATACAGGACAATCAGATGGGAGGGTATTGTGAAACTTCCCAGACGTGGAAACGTTCAAGATATCGACAGTGGATGTTCTTTTTAATTGTACTAAACCCAAAGAAGATTCAAGAAAGATATTGTAATTTGATAGAATGTTCTACAGTCACATTGGTATCTGTTACACCAACTTTGAATTCGTGATTGTGGTGTTTGAAGTTTTATTTTATATATTCACTACTTCAGGAGTTTATCAGTGAAAAAGACACTCTTAGGCTCAGTCTGAACAACACACAAGCAGAACTGCTCAAGTTACAGAAACTGTTTAATTCTAGCCAGGAGGAGTTACGGACGGTGAAGAGAAATCTCTTATCTACGACAGAGGAACTCAATGGCACTAAGATTAGTCTCGAAGAAACAGCACTCAAATGGAATGAAACAAGAATGAGGCTAGAGAATACAACCGTAGAATTGAATGAAACTAGGACCAAACTAGATGACGCAACTCTAAAACATTCAGGGTGTACTGTAAGTAGAACGGAACTTTTAAAAACCAAATTATTATATTATAGATCTATGAATTTTATACAGGTTCTTTATATAAATGGCAATAAAAACCAATTACATTTTGGTTACTGGGAATCGGCTTGAAAAACTACAGAAATGTTACAAAACTTTTCAGGAGAGGCTGAATGAGGCGCAGAGAAACTAAAGAAATGTTACAAAACTTTTCAGGAGAGGCTGAATGAGGCGCAGAGAAATTTTCGCTCAAAAGAAGAGGAACTCAATGAAACAAAAGTTGAACTAAAAAGCACTCGAACTATTTGAAATTAAAGCTGAGCTCGGGGACACAGAGTTGGAACTGGTTGGAACAAAACTAGAAGTGAAGAATGTCAGTGAGACTAAATGTGCGCTGCAAAAAGGATTCCTGACGAAATGGGACGTCCTGTACTCTTGTGATTACTACAACAAGACTTTTACCCTCCGGCTATATAGACAGCTACAGACAACGTGGGCCTCCCTTACTCGTAAGAATTAATTCTTTTCATCAAATGTCTAGATACTCTGTTACATCCGATTTAATATTCTATAACGTAGGACTATCAAATTTCATGTTTCCTATGAAATTGACTACATAAAAGGGGCTCACATTTTTCGAGCCCGCCTTATCTACAAACATTTCCTAACAATCAGCATTAGGTATGTCAATATAAAATTCCCACTATTTCAGGCAGAATATTGGGTATGACTATCACTGACAATCTCATTGAATTCATCAAAGATATAGATGAAGAAAACAGCTGTGATGATTACTCCTAAAATAAATTGCGATACGTCGCACTTTGTTCAGTATTAAATCTAAAGTAAGCGTGATTTAACGTTACCGAAACTCTTTATAATTTTAATTGAGACACCGTAATTACCAAACATTTTTGTGTCAAACTTTGGGATCAATAAATTTGAGTACCAAAAATGTTTGCATGAAATTTGGACTTGTTTAGATATGAAGTAATTTTGCTCTTATATTATAATATTAATGATATTTTATCAGTCTTGGATTATCAAAATCATAAAAGTATCTAAAGATAAAGAAAAAGACAATAGTATCTTATCTCATTTAGATATAGTGTCGAAGGCAGTCAAGGAACTAATACATCGAAGGCAGTGGATGACAAACTGATTAATTTTAGGCATATTGTGGACAAATAATTTTTCTAGGCAGGACTACTCGTTAATTCCCTACAGTATACACATCAAACCACAACCATTGGTCCAATACGCTGACTATCACACAATTTGTTTTGAGGAAATCCTTTTTCCTATATCATTGAGTCTGTTTGATAAACCTGGCCAGTGGCCAGAGCCCAGAAAACACTATTTATAATTATATCGGATGTATTTCGAGCTCAGCACGCTGAATCGATAAAAGTCAGTTCAAGATGTGATGGCGGCGAACAACAGCCTATCTACAGAACGTTCGCCCAAACTTTTGATCGCCCAAATTTGTGGGAACTTAGGTTATAGGTAATCAGGGTTCAGGGTATCCTTTACCCATTTATCTCACCTGAAAGCTTCTGCAACTCTACGATCAAGGTTTTTAGATGGTTTAGGAATGTTATTGAGTGTTTTCTGGATATGGAGCTGTTGTCGTTGTGTAACGAGTGTTGTTCTCCTCAGCTGGTTTTCCAGGTGGTTCAGTCTGGATTGTAGCAATCTCTCTTCCATCAAGTTGTGATACTTCGGACCTGGACAAGGGTAAATGTCTAGTAATGCCATGCTTACCATATTCAAAAAGGAAGATTTTATACGATAAAGAGGAATCATTCCGTTGTACTTGTAGTTTTTAATTGTATTCGTAGACGAATAAAGTATAACGGTATTTCGGTAATTTATCAGGTTTCAACTAGATATTTGCTACTAAAATCTATGATGTAATAATTTAAATTTGACGAATGCAGTGATATATCAGATATTGTACCTTTAAGGCTGATGTCCGTTTCCCTGAGATGCACAGTGCAGTGTATGGGTGTCACTGCGTGATACGAGGCGCAAAATACAGACGGGTTCATTCTTAAAACCAAAACTTCAATATTTAAAAGTCAAAAGGAAGCTTTAATAACCGCAAATAGAACAAAAATCACTCACAGCTACTTAAAACGTCAATTTTCTCAGCATTGGTGAGCGGCACGTTATTGAAGACGAACTGCTTGATATTGCTGTTTAAACTTACCGATATACGGATCAATTCAGCAGATATTATAACGTCGTTCGACAGATATTTCAAGCAAGAAAGTTAGGTTAAAACGGACGGCAGAAAGCACTACAACGTTGTGATGAGAAATCACGTCAAAGATTATTATTGCTTGTCATGATAATATTGCCCGAGATTAAAGACAGTACCGATACGTGCTAGTGTTTGATGTAATGCGTCTGGTGTCTCTGTACTTGCTCGTGAATGGTGGTTTTAATAAGTAATTAATGAGTCTGTAAGTAGAAAAGGTCGGGTGAATTGGAGTCGTGTGATAGTGTGATGTGTGCACGACATCAAGACGATGGGTAATTACATGGAGTAATCTGCCCTGGTATATAGTGGGATAGAGAGTAAAGATAAGATAGAGTAAAGATAAGATAGAGTAAAGATAAGATAGAGTAAAGATAAGATAGAGTAAAGATAGGATAGAGTAAAGATAAGATAGAGTAAAGATAAGATCTACACAAAAACAGGTATGTTCGTCATGTAATTTTGTCATTAGGATTCATCTGGTAATTATGCAGACGGAATGTCAAATTTTAAAAATGCTTGTAATTAGAGCTTGTTTTTAACTATGATCTTAGTGGCAATTGTCTCGGGTGGCATATTTTAATTCTTATCTTATCTTATCTTATGAGGATTCGTTGCGACGCAACAAGGCCATCGAATGAGTCGACCACCTTTGTTATTTTACTTCGGCATTACCTGCATTACAATGTAAACCAGCACGTTCAAGGAAGAGCTTTACAAGAAGCCGAAGGATCGTTCCTAAGGCCAGCGACGGTTAAGGCACTTTTTAAGAATTGAAACTTTTGATTTGAAAGGTGCCAGGTAAGTCAGAATTCTTAAATAAATCAAGTCAAATGTCAGGTTGTATTTACACAGCAAATGAAACTACATTCAACATTCCATAAGTCAAAATACACTGTCGTATTCATTAGGGACCTTAATCTGCGTATCAAACTTTATCTTACTTATTAGATTTATTAACAGGAAAAGGTTCCCTTGAATCCTTCACTTTCCTTTAATCCTTCACTTTCCTTTAATCTTTCACTTCCATTCAATCTTTCACCTCAGTTTGATCTGCTTATTTTTGCAGATATGAAAATTAACAAAATATATCGTCGAACATAGCAACTGCAAATGAACTAAATGACAAACATTTTTCTAAATATTCAAATATAAATGAGCTATAATCCAGAGTTTGAGTCAGTGAAACGCCTTTGAGCCAGTGGCTGACATCTCTTTTGTAACTGGACTCCTGTTAAGAATTTGCCACATTTCTATCGTAAATATTATTCAAGTGAGCCATTAATCTAGATACAATTGCTGCTAAATCCCAATCACGTGGCGGTGACGTCATGTGGTGGTGACGTCATGTGGTGGTGACGTCATGTGGCGGTGACGTCATGCGGTGGTGACGTCATGTGGTGGAGACGTCATGTGGTGGTGACGTCATGTGGTGGTGACGTCATGTGGTGGTGACGTTGTTGTTATTGTTGTCTCCACCATGTGCTACCTCTATAAGGTTTAGAACACTGAGAAGTCGGTTAATCGCTGGTTTATTCGGAGTAGTTTCTGAGTTCTCTTCACTTTCCAACCCTGAAATTGTTTTTATTGTCTGCTTAATACACTGCATCTATAAAGTCAATTCGGCGAGTTTATTTGGCTTGATTTAATCTAATTTTGTATGGCTCTGCGGATATGATTGAGTTCATTTTTGATTATACGACACTCTTTTGACACTCTTTTGACACTCTTTTGGCAAAATAATTCACCTAGATATTACATATCAAAGAAATTACTTACCAAGCCAAATAGACTGTCGCCACTGTACTCAAAACAAATGATACAATAACGCCTTGAACCACACTAAGCATGTTAACCCCTAGGAAAATTCCAGTGGTAAAGACTTCAACATTTTGAAATGTTCACATGAAAAGTGCAAAATTTGTATTATCAACTAATTCATGTGCGAGGTATTTTACAAGGTTTATTCATGTGTGCATTCCTGCAGCTGCCAACCCAAAAAGAACGCCCACGTAAGATACATTTTACAGACCTTGAAGTTCAGTGATAGCAGGTGGAGGGGAGTCCAAAGATAGGCTCTTTCTGGGAGATAGAGGCTGATGTTTTGGGTTTCCTTGATCTCCATAGATAAGGACTTTGGAGAAAGGTGTTCAGGACTGTGCAGTGACATGCTCTGGGCTCGGGACCGATTCTGAGAGTTGTTGAGTTGTAAATATCTAGGCCACACATTTGTTTTGACGCAAACACGTGATGTCAAACACTATTTCCATTGCCAATATCTACAAATATGACATCTAAATTAATATACACTTTCCTAGCACTACCTCACTTAGCACTTACTAGATTTGTTTTCTTTGATTTCTTGAGAACAGCTCTGCGATTGACGACAGACTTAAAGTGTCTGGTTTTAAAGGGCTCCTGTCCTCCCAAGTTCTCAACATCTCCCATATCAGCTGTTGATAGGAATGAGAAGGATTGTCGGAGTCGCTCCGCTTTCAGATACTTCGTCCTTGGGTCACATATGTTAAGATCAACCTGGCGTTCTGTTGATTTATTAAACTTAGTTGCTCAAATGCAAATGAATACAACTAGCGGCTAGTAAAAACTGAGATGAACGATGTTGAAAAACAGCCCAAAAACCTGAGGCAGTCTTTAGCGTTATAGAGTTGCGAGAAAATAGTTTGAATTTCAGCATCTGAGTTTAGAGGGTCTCTCCAATCACCCAGTACAATAGATCTGTGTGTCTTGCTACAACCTTGATCTGTTAAATATACGACACATTATTTATCATTCAACAAAAACAAAAGGTTTTAGATCGTATATCTGGAAAATTTTGCCATGATATGTCTCTGCCTATATTTCTTCACTTCAAATGAAGGCTTGCCTCACTTACCAATAAGCGACCGAGCGGTGCAGCAGGACCATCTCTTACACTTGTAGGCTCCAGGATGGTAAAACTTGAGAGTCTTTGTGTTCTTTGAACAGGTCTTGCGGAGTGAGGATATCCACTCAGTTACCTCGTTCAATGTCTACAGAGGATTACTTTATATTATTGTATTTGTGACCAATATTATTGAAATATCATCAAATTTTGTTTTAATAAATAACAATAAAGGTGTACTTAAAATATACAACCCACCGAACCTTGAGTTTCATGTACAGAACAGAAGGACGCTCGTTATTCTTGGATATCAGTATCTGTAGTATGTGTTTGTGTCCGAACACGTACTTATCCACTCTTTCCACCGAGGTGATATCACTGATAGCTATCAACTTAGTGCACCCTAGTGACTGTCCCTGGAGATGTTGCATTAAGCGGGTCTTTTCAAATGGGGGCTGCTTCACGATTACATCCTTTGCAAAGTTTTCATCCTTATATGTTATGATTGGTGGCTTTTATTTCTTATTTGTACGCTCAAGCCTATTTTATATGACCTGATTCATACCCAACGAGCTTCCGTGATTATACTACGCCCTTATCTTTCTTTAGCAAAAAATACAACTTGCACGAAATTTATCAAAAATTCATAGTTATGAGAAATTATCTTAATCTGATAAAAACATGAAATTGGACGGCTTCCAAAAGCTGAAAAATCAGAAACTTGAGCTAAACTTACCGAAGATGCTTTAGAACCGTAGCTAAGTGCTGCGAAAGACAGAGAGAAGAAGCGTTTCTTGAATACTCGGACTGTTTGGGATTGTCCGAGACTAATCCGGTATTTCTCAGCCCACCCACTTTGTATTATCGTGGTGTGGGAGAAGAGATGTTGGGAGGTAGGGGTCGCTATCTTGGCGGGAGGGCTGCTGCCTGATAAATAGGCAATTGTTAACAACAAATATTATCTTGTTATCGTAATTTCAGTTATGAATTGTTGTATTGATAAGCTTAGTTAGGTACCCTCTTTAGAATTAGAGACACTACGATCCAATAAAGCCCGTTTGATTGGCAAAATATCGAGGGACCATCCTTAGATTGAATTTTGGAGCCAATGACCGAATATCTACAATATAAAATTAAAGTACTCAGTAAAATAAAATATCATGATTAAGTCTGTCAGCCATCCTGCAGTATTATTATAAAGATGATGTAATTTCGCCGCCACAATTTCAAAATTTCAAAATACTACAAATCCTGTCAGGCAACCATTAGCAGCTCCAATCTTACATTAGCAGCTCCAATCTTACATTAGCAGCTCCAATCTTACATTAGCAGCTCCAATCTTACATTAGCAGCTCCAATCTTACATTAGCAGCTCCAATCTTACATTAGCAGCTCCAATCTTACATTAGCAGCTCCAATCTTACATTAGCAGCTCCAATCTTACATTAGCAGCTCCAATCTTACATTAGCAGCTCCAATCTTACATTATCAGCTCCAATATTACATTAGCAGCTCCAATCTTACATTAGCAGCTCCAATCTTACATTAGCAGCTCCAATCTTACATTAGCAGCTCCAATCTTACATTTGTAGATGGTCACAAGATTGCTGATAAAGTGTCGAACGTTGTCTGTTTGCCTTTCTACAAAAGGGAGGAGGGGGAGCATGAAACTCTCCTTACACGGCTGAGCGCACATGTTACCTATCTGCTGCATCGCCTGAAACATATCAGAAGATAAAACACTACCAGAAATTAATAACAAGCAATTGCACAAAGTTTATTCCATTTAAGATAATAATAACGTATTTCGTTTGATCCATCCGTACAGAATAGTTGGGGGTAACCTATCATTATCTAACCTTAGCACAGAGCATAAGAGTACGAGATATTCTCATGTTAGGGTGATTGCTGTTTAGGTAGAACAGTTTAGGGTTCATTATTGCGGGAACGAAGAATCTCAGAAACACAAAACTGCTCACTGCCATATACTGTAGGTCCTGATGGTTGTAATGGGGATACATGTTTAGAATTCATTCTGGTGAAATCTATGTTTCATATCGAAGAATGAAATCGCGATTTAAAATAAAAAGTGCGAGTCAAAAGTCGAGATGATTTTGCCAGGTTTGATTTATCGTAAGAAAATATCTTAGACTTACTGGATTTTCTGGGAATGTTCTATGAACAAGGTCAAATATCATGGCGCAAACTTTGCGAATACCAAAAGGACTAGCAGTCTTTGACTGCATTATACTGTTCACTATTTCCATCAGATACAGATTTATCTGTTTCGTACTCTGCTTCACTATCGCCTCTTTATTCAGTATCCTGAAAGCCTGAAGTTAGTAAAATCCGCTTTTATTTGGGGTAGCCATCAAAGACACATCTTCTTAAAACCAATTTAGAGCAATAATCTTTATTAAAAAGAGGCAATATTGGAGTTACCTCAAATAGAAACTATCGCTCCATAAATACGACTCGACCTCAAAAAGCAGATCCCAATATAGTCTAAACGGTAGATATTGTCATTAAAACAGGCCGAGGCCCGAGAGGCCCGAAAGGTCAGTCGCAAACTGCCAAATGATGCTCTATATATTCAATACCTACCCGTACTTTTTAGTTATCCTCGACTTGTCCATTTCGCAATACTTGTTCTCCTTGTAGATAAGCTTTATTGTCTTGCCCAGCACATTTTGTAGGTATAGTGTACCCGTTATCTTCATATACTGGTCCATACATTTGGAGGCCAGGGTGTTCTCTGAAAATGTAATAGTACAGGACGTGTTGTACAGCATCATGGACTGATGTGCAATTGGTGTAAAATAGTAAACCTGTTACATCCAATATACGAGAAGTAGTCAGTCGTCATCATGCACACTCTTATATTATCATTAGCTTACAATTCGTCAGCTTTTTGAAGGTCACGACCTTTTGATGGTCACGACTCGCGAAATGTAAACTCGTTTTTAAATCCGTTGAATTTGTTGTTCAGTTGATGTCATTTGCAAGCAGGCTGACCCGTGTATGAACTATGAATCTTACCTCTGAAAATAGTCTCAGGAGTAGATTTCTTAGCCTCAAGAGTGAACAACATGCTCAGGAGCCCCTCTATCTTTCCCTTTCCAAGGAATATCCTGACCAACATGTAGGCCATCTCCATTCTGTCCGTCATGGCTTCCTCCAACAAAGCTAGCGGAGTAATCCCTGTTCTGGGTATTCCGTTGGTAAAGTTATCCACCTGGAGGATATTCATTAAATTGTGGATATTGTTATATTTTTGTAGGGTAGCTATTTTTGTACTTTTGTGAATTGATACTTTAGAAAGTAAAACCGAACTTTTCCTAATCCAAACCTCCTCAATAAGTAAGTCAATAAGTGGTTGATAAACTAGGGAAGGTAGGATGGATGCCGTGACATATCTTATTTTCATTCTTATTGACCCGGCAGCTTGGTGCCCTATAAAGTCTCTCGGTTTCAACCAGAACCACTGATTATACTCCAGTTTCTTCTCAATTCTCTTCAAACTAAACGTGATCTCCCCCATGAACTCATCCTTCCCCACAATGTCCCTGTCCCAGAGGGTCAACCGAACTATCTGGTCTGCAGTATCAGCAGGAACAGGTAAAGTGGTCATCGCATTCCACCTAGGGAACCGGGTCTGTTTCCTTATCTCCGTCTGATACGAGTTTGATCCGAGAGTTAATATCCCGTATGGATCGGAAGACCCTGTTTTGTCCTTGGCTGCCAGGTCTCTCGCTTCTGCGATTTTAACATCAAGTTTCGTCTCAGATAGCTTGAACTCAAGTCTCACCTCGCCTGTCACCTCAGAATCCTTAGTCACCTTCTGAAGAGCAAACCAGCGCTCATCCCCAATATTATAGTCTCTCACCATCTCCTTTTTCGTCAGAGTCACCTTCCCAATGACGTCATCATACCTCAAATCCTCGTCGTACACGTAAACAGAGAGCGCGAAGAAGTTGCGCTGCACGTGCAGCGTGTACTCCTCCCCCCAGAAGGGGGACAGGGTCCGGTATATGGTCATTGTCCGTAACACTGTCTGGCCGTCCACCTTGACTACACAATACGGGTCTGATGATTTACTCAACGTGTCCATTATGGGAAAGTTTTTGCCCTCCGCTATTTTGAGGAATATGGTTGTTTTGGTGTTGTCACTTTCGAATTCATCGTCTGAATCGTTCATAGAACTTGCTACTGCTTCCATCAGCCGGTCATTAGTTTTCATCAGGCTGCAAGAATAATGTGAGATTTTAATTAGTTTATGGGTATCTTTCTACTTATAAAAATTGTAAAGTAACCTAAAGTAAGTATTGTAGGGAGCATCACAGCTCTCGACAGACAAAGTGAAACAAGGTGAATAATAATAATTGAAAAACTGTTCAGAAATAAATTATTAACCATATTAACTATTATTGACCATATTATTAACCATATGAACTAAATTAATAAACTACTGTAACTATGTTTAACTATTATTAAATATTTTAAAAAAAAGTTTATTTAAAGTTTGTCTAAACCCTACAGATATATACAAAATGATAGCGAATTATTGTCGGTTAAAGCAATAATTGAGTTGCTTATCCTGCCAAATAGTTTTGGTGACTTTATCAAAAGGCAAACTTGACCTGTGGTGCCTGATTTGATTCTAGGAAAATGCCATTCATTTCCATGGTGCTACTAAGTAATGGAATAGACGAATTGAGAATTATTGAGGCATCCCGGGTCTTAAATACTGGTGTGCCCAATTCATCTTAATACCAAGGTCCAATTTTTGCCGTTTAATAACTGTCAAAATTTGATCGAATGCAAAGAATTCAATTTCGCTGATATTGCTTTTTCAATATGTCCCTGGAATGAGCCCCAATATTTTCCTGGTACCAGAAGTATTTCCATTTGTTCTGCATGATATTTGATATTGGGCCCAGGAATTTGTTACTCAGTTAGGACTACGTATATTACCGTTATTAAGGATTAATTTTATAGTGTCACTGCCTTCCAAGGAACACTTCCCCACGTCACGGTGACGTTACGTCACCACTCGCTTAATAATCCCACGAAAAGGCTATGGTCAGGAAGGGGGGAATGAAATGCGGTGGGATTTGAGTTTATAAATCTATTCTATAAATAGATACATTATTACAAAGCATTTCACATTGTCACAAGACACAGTACCGCGGACTTTTAATTAACCATTTTCTGGAGATTGATACCAGTACCAGTACCATAGACCAGTCCTGCTGGAGCTTGTTCGTGGAAAATCAGCTATTCTTAAGGATGCAACATTATGGGGAAATTGTTTAGATGGACAATTTAGAATATTGTGACCAATCACATATATATAATATATATATTTTATATCAATCAAGGGGGGGGGGGGGGGGGGGCGGAGGGGTGGGGCTGACCATATTAAAGTATATTAAAGTATATCCCCGGCCCTAAATCGGGAAAAAATCTACATTTTAATATACTTTAATATACTTTAATATACTTTAATATACTTTAATATACTTTAATATACTTTAATATACTTTTATTTATTTAATATACCCAAAATTAGTCGAGCTATATTCTGCGTTTAGATTTGCAAGATAAGCCTGTTTTTGGACTAGTACATAAATTTACATCTAGTTTGGTCAAAAAATGGCTGAGTTATGAGCTTCAAACCATATGCCTATATTTGGGCATACGCACCAAATTTGAAAGCTACTGCCCAAAATTCGAACAAATTTCAATATTTTTGAATGAGACTATGTGAAAGATATAGCTCGCTATCGGTTGAATAGTGGATACTAAGTAAAAAGACCTCCATGAACAAAATTGCACGTGTAATATCTCGGTTCGGGATACTAGCCAAAATGACTTCAATAAAATTGAAATAACTTCATCAGTTTTCAATATTTTTGCATGAAATTTTCGGAATCGATTAAGAATTGCATTTCAAGCCTATTGTGGGCAGCGATTTTTGATTTAGGCCTCCAAAAAGATAGGGATATAATATTAAAATATATTGAAGTATATTAAAGTATATCAAAGTATATTAAAGTATATCCCCGGCCCTAAATCGGGAAAAAACCTACATTTTAATATACTTTAATATGGTCAGCCCCCCAATCAATAATAACTAACAAATCTTATCAGTATCAATAAAAACTAAATACCAATTTGCTGTCGTAACAAATCTAGGAGTGGTTGATCAATGATCAACTGCGACAATATGATATGAGACAATGATCAACATGTCTCCCAATTTGAAGCCCACGCCTATTATATAGTGCTTTTGAACAGGTTGCTAAGTTGACACCTACAAATTGAAGTAGTGCATTAAACGTAGGTGTCCGAACTGCCATATATCTCAGACCTATCATCAATATAGAGAAGGTTACCGAGTTATTGTTGAGTCTCGGGATTGACAAGTGAGTAATGTCTGCCTGGTTAGACAAACTAAGATAAGATTTATGCTGTTATCTTGTCGAACAATCCTCGTCATGGGTGTTATGTCTAAAGGATACGGCGTTATAGTTCTTTTATCGAGACTATTGACATATATTTGACATCTTATTATTGATATAAGCGTAATATTACCTTATAAACCGATTATTGATCGAATATACTGTCAGGAAGGAGCATAATGGTATATAATACTTATGAAAGTTTTGATGATTTAAAGGATATTTTACTAATTCAGTGGCTAGTAAAATAAACATATCAGACTTATATCGTAAGATATAATATAAGACACGGTGAAAGTAACAACGGATTCTAAAAATTATCAACAAATTTTATCAACCCTTTTTAAAGCAACTATAATTTGCAGCTGATGACTGAAAAATCTGACACGAAACGCACTAACTAAAAATAGAATAATTGACATGACATACCTTACGAGACATATTTAAAAGGTACGAAAGTCGGTGGTTTTCCGAAAAAAAACACCATTTTTTCGGACTACCGAAATTTAGGTCATCATAATTTTTTTCCCCGTATTTTTTTAACGTACGTATTTTCTTTAATTATGACTTTGTCGATTTACTATAAATATACATAGTATAAGTAAGTTATCGATATGATTCATCTAACAAATGAACACTAGTATTACACCTGGGACTACACTGGAGAGAGAAACGTCCCTGAACCAGAAGATCAAGAAGAAATCGACTTGTAATTTTTCAAATTTCATATTTTATTTTATTGATTTTTGACAAATATTTGGTTTTATTTTTGTAAAATAAAGAAATGAAAAAAAATTCGTCGAATATAAATATGTCTCGTAAGGTAATGCACTCTAACGTTTCATTTTGTCTGACAACAAGATCAATAAAAAGAGACCCTCACGGGTCACGATCGGAAGGTTGATTCAGATGAATGTGCAAAATAGGCGGGAGTCCTTTAGATAGCACCATGAATCTATTATCTGTCATCAGGGTGTCACACGCAGCTGACATCTACAAAGTTCTTTGTATAAGCATTCTTTGTTCTTATCAGTATTAGGGATAATATTATATTAAAAGACTGCTGCGTTCGTATGAGGAGCCAATAGCAAGAATACAATCGAAAATCGAACCACGTCCAACAAAATGATAGACTATTTTTGGCATCGAACGTTCTAACTTTAGAGTAGCAGTCCTGCAAATTACAACTACTGCTATTCCGGGATCCTGCTATAAGAAACCGAACCTCCATTCTCCAACACTCTCAGACTTATAGCTCTCTACATGTTCAATCGTTCTATAATACGATTTGGTGGCTCTGAATAAATTAAAATATCCTCAAAGGTATTTTTGAATATTAAAATGTACGACATTAGGAATGGCTCATTATGCTCCTTAATGTTCTAGACCTTTTAATAATTTAAAGTGTTTCAACTTACTACTTTATTGTACTTAAACTCATAATATAAGACAGACTACCCCCCATGTAACTGATTTGAAACTATAAACTGTAAGTAGAAATGGAAGTCTTCGTCTTTCATAAATGGAATATATCAGCAGTAAGCTTAAAGAGGCTAAAGGAAAAATCATAGATATTTTAAAAGTGCGCCTATTCTATTATATATCTACTATATATCTGTCTAATGTGTCTATGTGAGGTGCTTAAAGTTAATTGGACGTGTTCAAACCTGGTTGGTGGTTTTGTTTCATTTTTCCCAATCATTACTTCTGGGCCCCCAGATTGAAATCTGTAACATTTTAAGAATAACTGAAACTACTGACAAAAACTAGACCCTTTGACTGAGGGCACCCTTAAATCAAAATTTTTGTAACATATTCAGGTCCTGAGATATAGCAGTTTAGTTGGGGGCCCTGGATATTGAATTTTGTAACACATTTCTATGTTACACTTTTTCAATGGGTTTTTAGAGAAGCTTCTTGATAGTTTTTCAAGTTCAGACCAGTTTTTCTAGGTCACAAAGGGTTCCATAAACCATATTCTTGACCAAATTTTGTACTTAGGCCCAAAACATTGAATTCTGTAACATATTTATGTTTTCACTGCCAAGGTCATATCTGGAATATTCAATATATTTTTGTATTGGTAACATGGTTTTTAGATTCTCATACAAAATTCTGAAGCAATCCTTATTCATATAATTTGATAAAATGGCTGCGGAACTTGAATTATGTAACATTAGAAAGTAAGTGTATAGAGTATGTACCCTAGTGTGAGGGGTATTAGGTAAGCTATATTATAGTTCAGACCAGTTTTTCCAGGTCACAAAGGATTCCATAACCATATTCTTGACCAAATTTTGTACTTGGGCCCAAAACATTGAATTTTGTAACATATTTATGTTTTGACTACAAAGCTCATATCTGGAATGTTCAATATATTCTTTTACTGGCAACATGGTTTTTAGATTCTCATACAGAATTGTAAAGCAATCCTTATTCGTATAATTTGATAAAATGGCTGCGGAACTTGAATAATGTAACATTAGAAAGTAAATGTATAGAGTATAGTATATAGTATGTATCCTAGTGTGAGGGGTGTTAGGCAAGCTATATTATAGTTTTTGAAGTCCATGCCAGTTTGCCTAGGTCATAAGGCCAAGGGTTCCATCAACCATATTATTGACCATATTTTGTACTTGGGCCCAAAACATTGAATTTTGTAAGTCCACAGATGGACATGGAACTCTGACCTGGCATTTTATTGTTACAAATTTCAATATGTAGGGCCCAATTTCTATTTTCTATACAATTTGATATATAAATTAAATAAGTTAAATATCCAACCTTTAATCTAATTAGCTATATTAATTTGATTAAATTTACCACGTTCTGTCGCGGATTGTCAATTTAAATTACATTACATTTAAATTGTTACAAAATTCAATAATTTGGTCCCAATTATCATTTTTTAAATTTATTAAGTTGTTTCATGTCTTTATTTTAATGCATCAACTAACTTAAAACCAATACTGGATCAAACAACCCTGTATAACATACTCATTTGTAACCATGTTACGTTATTCAAAGAAATGGGCCTTTTATTGATTATGAACCATATACAAAGATTGTGGTAATGCCTTTATACAAGAATTGCTGCACTAATAACCTGGTTTGAGAGTTAAATACATATCCTACACTAGCTGTGGTTGTAACAAACTATAAAGATAGATTCATGAAAACAAGATGTTACAAAATGTCCATTTTGGGCCATTTTATGAAATCAAAAGTGGGCCTTTTATCATTCCACAGATAAGCAAATACCTAAAGTACATTTTTGTGAAGCAAGAATCTTTAAAATTTAATAATTGGCTGAGCCATTGAAAAGTGTAACCAAATGTTACATTTTTCAACATAACTGGGCCATTTTACAATATTATTTATAGCCGATGACCTAAGACTATTTGTTATCACAATTATAATCATCTCTGAAAGTTTCAAGACCATCGAGTAATTATTAATGGAGTTATTGTAAAAATGAGAAAATCGCCCATTTTGGCAGTGAAACAAAACCACCAACCAGGTTTGAACATGTCCAATTATAGTCTGTGAATATAGATTATATATATGTTGCTAATTCTTGATAATTTGGAACTGAATATTGAATCCAATGACAGATTTCCTTTGAAGGGTGATAAAGGGTGACTGCTCGGCCGCAATATTAATTGCTGCTTTTCTGATATTTTGACAGCTATTCTAGGGCAGCTACTTATCGACCTTAGATTTAAGAAATAACTTTTAAACTCATGATATATGTGATATTGATAAAAGTATTGCCAGTATTACAGTTCATGACTCTACTCCCTGTATCAATTATGAAGGTTTCACGCATCATACCGATGTAATTATAAATCTCTACCCTATAGAAAGCAAGGAATGATACTAAAAGCGGGTGCAGCTAAGATCCGAGTCCTTCTACCAGTTCTTGGATTCGTATGTTTCCTTGTTTTCCAGTTCCTGAAATCAGATGATGATGCTGTCACAGATGTTAACACTTTCCTAAGAACGAGACTTTCAAAACTGGTGGATGCTTTTGATGAGAACCATGACGGTGTTCTCAACAACGATGAGGTAAGATGTTTTGATGGGGGAAAAGTAGTAAGTAAGAGGATGTAGTCAGTATGTGGGGAACCACACATGAAACGAACAAAATCACGGACCCTGAGAAATTGTGCAAATGTTGCCAGCTTACAGTCGTTACTATATAAATAAACTATAGATCTTGCGAAATCTTTGATCTTAAATATCACCCCAAAGAAGCAAATACAATGGCGGGCTCGGCACACATTATTACATTTAAAGATTTAATGACAATTGTGATACATACTCTCGTCCCGGCCGGCACTGTTAATGGACTACCTACTGAAAGTAGGGGTGACTCCTTCAGTCGGTCAGTTCATCAAGTATATAAACAAGTTTATCTCTCAGTTGTTATCGTGGTTCTACATGGTAGACATGGGAGACAAGGCAAACGAACTGAAGGTGACATGGGAGGGAGCTGACCGTGATGGGGACGGGCACATCACCCTCAACGAATACTTAGAGCAAGTCGGCTTTTTAGCGGTCAGCATATCCACCATTTGACCTTATACAGATATTTCACGTGTTTTCTCGTAAGTTGGGGCTTTCTTTCTCTCGTCGTAATAAGGACTTGTTCTTTGTTAAGAAAATAAAGTACCCCTGGTCATGTGACAGGTTACGCAGAGTACGCAGAAACATTATTTTTAGCACCCGTACTGTAAAAGGTTCTTTATCTTCATTTACCCTCAGAAAGAAAGGTGTTCTTAGCCTAAAGAAATTCAGGATATGAGAACAAAGGCCGTAAAAAATGTAGGATAGTGCTGCAGTTAGTTTCTTATAGAATAAGTTTTCATTAAAGTAACAGGGCGGTCAAACAATAGTTAGTCAGTTTAGTTGCCCCAATGTTGCATAAAATTAGTGCATCATTTTTAGGGCGTGGGTCTATAGTCTATACTTATAAGTTGCCATTCTAAAAACCGTCATTAATCGAGTAAAATGAGATCGAATTAGCTCTAAATCCATCAGAATTTGCTGACGGTGACGAATCAAATTTTCTGGATTTCTAATCGTGTATTCTTCTTTTCTACGACTACTGGACCTTTTAGAGTAACAGTATTGAAAAAAGGGATGAGATAAAACTTAGATATGGGATGATACTTGATAGTATCGGCTGATAAGAATTAACTCTAGAGATACTGAAACAATACTAGGTACCTTAAATACCTTTTCAGCTTATAGATCTGTTTAGAGTTGTTATTATGAGGAGCAAAAAACAAAAAGACTAGCTAACAAATAATTTAAAGCTTTTAAGTAGCACGATAAGGGGAGAGCAAGGTAGCACTGAGGTGACAGGAGTGACAGTGCCACCGGCATCATCCAGTTATTTGGCTCTGAAATGAAATCGAAATATCTAGCTCTCTACACCAGCTACCTAACGAGATTTACAGGGAACTGACTGTCCTTGTAGTTATATATCCGTGAACTTGACTGAATTTGTCAAATGAGGTGTGACGATGAACTAATTTCCATTAAATGTTAATATAGTAGCGACTAGAACGAGACACCGTCTTTAGCAGTGCAATCTTCGTGTCCTCTGTCAATACTTCACTAATACGTCACTAATACGTGTGCTCTGTCAATACGTCACTAATCTTTCTTTTATATGATTCGCTCAACGTCCTGATCATCTGTTAATTATTTTATTTTTAATTAATTATTTGAATTAAAATTTAATCAAAATCTTGCTTAATCTGACTAAACTCTAATTTTTATTGGTTTCTTCTATAGACATTTTTGAAGTTATTGCTTAAAATAGTAACTATTATATCTGACTTGAAAAAGGGGACTCACTTTAAGGGATAAAATAAGGATAAAATCAATTATAGTCATATCTGTGACAGGCTACTCCAGTTGATCTAAACTTTCATTCATCATTGTTTTTCAAATAAGTTATAATCTTACTATATATAAAGCGAGACGATATATATGGATATATGGATCCGACGGATCCATCCGTGCCATTTTACTGACACCAGGGCATCAACTTTAACGCGACTTTCCGCAAAAACCGTAAAAGATATACAACTGAAACTTTTTTGACTGGGTCAAATGCTTTAATGGCCTTCAAATCAGCATGAAAAAATTAAAAATTGGCCAAGGAATAAGAATTTTAGTGCCCAAAATTTGGACTCCCAAGTGGTGTCAAAAACGCGAATTAAATAGGTAATAATTATTTTATTCTCTCGAGTCTTGACACCACTTTAGGGTAGACGGGTTCCTGCTAGTTACAAATAAACTACAAAAGAAAAAGCCCGAACATCTGTTTGATATGAGATTTGCAGAAGGGAGGAGTTGTAAAAGTAAAATTTGAACAATTCCATACTTTTAATCTGATACTTTTATATTTTCAGGACGACCCAAGTTTTGTAAAAGCGACAAGACGGAGGTTTCTAAGCGTCGACAAAGATCGAAATGATATGCTGAGCAAAGAAGAGTTTGCTATATTCTTATTTCCTGAGCTTTCTCCTGAAATGACGCACACTCTGTACGACGAGGAAATGGCGGATCGCGACGCGTAAGTTAAATTGATTGATTGAGAAATTAATGAGAATGAATACAGGTTAAATGAGATGTTGGTTATTAAACCACTTCAATGATACCTCACAAACATAACGTCTGCGTCAGGGACTGCACAGTTAACAGAAACCGGAAATAATGTTGTAATAGCTGTGCAAGCAGTGATGGCATAGTTCTAATGTACCGTCACAATAGTGAATTTAATATATAATAATAGCAGTTTTTGACCTTTATATCAATAGACCGTCTATGAATCATAGCCATTTAGCCTGTCTAGAAAATTAAAAAAACACCGATTCAATCCCACAGAAACGGCTCCAGAAATGTCATCAATATTATATAATATTGTAATAAAAACTAAAAGTAGCAGCCATTAGCCAACAACTTCCCCAGTCGCCGCCCTCGCAACGCCCACTGGAATGTGGGGGTGTACTACGCAGTTGGGTTTATCCCTTTTATCGAATATCTGCCACTTCCAGGAGCTTTTCCTCTATATTTCTACTTAAAACAGTCTCTCTGATATTATATAAATGTCGCCGAAATTTGCTTCACAGTTCACCGTAAACTGAGATTATCGTCATATCGATATAAGTAGTGATTATTTTCTTATTATCTATAGAAATAATACTTGGTCCACTCTGAGCACTGAATTATGCTATGCACGTGAGACGTGAGTGAAGTCGATATGAAAAAAATATTTTCTTTACGATCCCCCACATGAATGATTAAGTTTGGCCAAAATTTTGAATCGATCAAAAAAGCAACTAAGATTGTCTTACATCAAAGCAAATTATTTAAGTATTGGTGGTTAAAATGTCATCATCCAATGAAGGGATGGGTTTCGAAATACCGACAATTTAAGTGGCATGAAATGACGTGTGAACGATCCCTTAAACGATTATAAAATTGGAAATGGTACGACTTCGATTTATAACCCTTTTACCCTTAACCAAATTAATTTGTAAACTAATTGATGGATGAAGAAAGCTCTGAATATTGTGACACTCAATTCTCAGGAACCATGACAACCACCTCTCCCTGCACGAATATCTGGGTCTCACCGAGGAGGAGCTAGCTGACCAGGAGCGACAATTCACTGTCCAGCAACACGTGGACTACTTTCGCGCGCATCTTGACACCAACCACGACGATATCCTTAACCCTGACGAGGTTTTAGCGTGGGTTTCAGATGATAAGAGACATTTGAGGGTGAAAGCGGAGAAGGTGATGCAGACGGTGGATAAGGATAGGAATGGGGTGTTGAGTATTGAAACTGAGATTACAAGTGATGTGAAGTATTTTTCAGAGCATGAATTGACGAGGTATGGTGATATGCTGCTTTACCAGGATGAACTTTAGTTTTAAAATATGTGCAATTAATTGATTGATTATTTCGAATTAATAAGTCTGGATAATAGATGATAATTTTGTTGTTTTTTGTAAATAACTTCAGGTAGATTGGATGTTGATAATTTATTTCACTCAGATTAATGTTTTTGTGACAGTGTCACAATGTAGATTGTATTGTCATGGTGTCCTGACTTTAGTGTATATACGATGTTTTGCGGTAAGTACAACAGGTGTCTATATTTGTTTATTTATTTTGTGTGTATTGTGTAGACTATAGGTGTGACGATCATTATACAGAATATGAACAAATTCCATGAAATTTACGTGATTAAAACGATAAACCCCATTCCTTAAAAACGGTTTTATTTTAATCAGATTTTCGTAAAAATGTCATGATTTGAAGCAAAGACTGATATCAGGGAAATTAAAAGTACATTGATGCAGTCAAAGCACATTCAACTTGGAACGATCAAAGATTGCAACACAACATACAACACAGGAGAACAATACCCCTTCCTTAGTATCATGAATTAATAAAAGCAAAGTAAGCAGATAAGGTGTTGGTTACCAATAAGTTCGGATTGTATGAAGTCTGGTAATCAATATCCCACGAAGATAGATAAAGTCTTGACATGAATTTTAAACTGCATTAATTATAGTGGATAAGCACCTCCAGCATAGAGCCGCTCAGTAATTCATACTTCATTTATATTCATTATATGATTAAAAAAGGTCTGAGGAGAAGAAATAATATACAAGTTAGATCACCAGCTTGAATCTGAATTTGACGCTGATTATCATAGACTGCTTTTAATACCCAGCTGTTCTGATTTATAATTGATTGGCTCGCTCATCTAAGCTTCTAAGTTGTGGGATGAGTTTACTCTAATAAGATAAATATAGGTGACATATTATTACACTGAAACCAAATCTTATTTGATTTGATAATAATGGACAACGCCTCCGCGATCTTATATTAGTCAATATCATTTAAAAGTTGAAATAAGAAATCTAAATTAAGAATTTACCATCCTTAAGGGGGCATACACCAAAACAGTGGTTTGTGCAGTCCAGACCAATTGACCTCATAGGCAGTTCAGTGACCTTCTAGCGCACCGTTTCCACACCAAAAACAATTATTTTGAGAATACCCATTTTTGTAATCGACCATTTCCTGGTTAAGAGTGCAATTTTCGGGAAAAATTAATTTGTGGTTGAGACGCTATAAGTTAATCATTTCTTGCGGTATCGGGTTGAAATTTTGCTCGCCGTTTATTCACATCTATTTGAAGGTGTGTGTAATATCTTGATATCGTATCTAAAAAGGCTGGTATGTTATGAATTTTTAAAGTCAAAAAGCTAATATTGTCCTTTTCAGGCTTATTTTGACAAAAAGTCAGTCAGGGAAGATCGGATTGATTTGATGCTTGACATCAAATTGTTCTCTGAATCCTGGCGCATTTTTTGATGCCCTCAAAAATGCGTTTACTCAACTGGAAAGTTGATCTTTTGGACCTCAAAGCCAAACAACAAATTTAGGCACATTTTTCGTTTTTAATATTTACCGATTTTTCTAAAATTTTGATAGGAATGTGCTAGTGACTTTTTGAAGGGTGCAAAATAACCGCAACTAGCACATTTATATATGAGTTATGAACAACAAAACACCCTAAAATGCTTCCCTTTGAAGTTATGGGAGAAAATGTGATTTTTCATCTGCAAAGCCAAAAAATCACATTTTCTCCCATATTTTCAAAGGGAAGCATTTTAGGGTGTTTTGTTGTTCATAACTCATATATAAATGTGCTAGTTGCGGTTATTTTGCACCCTTCAAAAAGTCACTAGCACATTCCTATCAAAATTTTAGAAAAATCGGTAAATATTAAAAACGAAAAATGTGCCTAAATTTGTTGTTTGGCTTTGAGGTCCAAAAGATCAACTTTCCAGTTGAATAAACGCATTTTTGAGGGCATCAAAAACTGCGCCAGAATTCAGAGAACAATTTGATGTCAAGCATCAAATCAATCCGATCTTCCCTGACTGACTTTTTGTCAAAATAAGCCTGAAAAGGACAATATTAGCTTTTTGACTTTAAAAATTCATAACATACCAGCCTTTTTAGATACGATATCAAGATATTACACACACCTTCAAATAGATGTGAATAAACGGCGAGCAAAATTTCAACCCGATACCGCAAGAAATGATTAACTTATAGCGTCTCAACCACAAAATAATTTTTCCCGAAAATTGCACTCTTAACCAGGAAATGGTCGATTACAAAAATGGGTATTCTCAAAATAATTGTTTTTGGTGTGGAAACGGTGCGCTAGAAGGTCACTGAACTGCCTATGAGGTCATTTGGTCTGGACAGATTTGGTGTATGCCCCCTTAAATTATGTGGTGCTTTGTAAATCTAGTTCATAGCATAAAATTGCAGGAAACAAACCAGCCACGACGTTTAAAATATGAAATGAAATGTCCACTACCACCAAGGACTCGTTTAACGGGTGATACTCGTAAAATATCTGTTCCATATATTGGAACAGGACCGTCGACGAGTCCAACTCGGCGCGCGTCCTGGTAGGTTGTAAACCTACAAGGACTCGTCTGATATTATGTACTTGAATATTAAATAAAATATACTGAAACTGAAATTTTTTCCGGTAATTTCATAGAATAATGCTGGAGGAGCTTATCCACTATAATTAATGCAGTTTAAAATTCATGTCAAGACTTTATCTATCTTCGTGGGATATTGATTACCAGACTTCATACAATCCGAACTTATTGGTTACCCACACCTTATCTGCTTACTTTGCTTTTATTAATTCATGATACTAAGGAAGGAACTGCGAGCCCTGAGGCGGGAGGGATGTCTGGTGTTGATCGGATTAAGTTCAAACCTATTGGAATAGTAGTTGTTATAATATTACGAAAATTAAACCAAACCATAACCAAATAGAACAAATTTCAAAGGAAAAACCACGTGAACATGAAAGTAGAAGCAGTTAAAACCATCATAAGTCATGTACCCACCTCCCCAAAGAATTTGGTTTGCAACAGAATTATTCCAAATATGAAAGCAATATTTAAGAATCACAAAACTTCTTAAGTCAATTCAGTGCTTCTGAAGATATAATTTATCAAGAATCACAAGACACACGATAACTTAAAAACTGAGAACTAATCGTCTTATTGCCTAAGCGATCAGTGTCAAATGTTTAAAGAATGTTTAATTTGAATTAAAGGCAGCTCTGAGGTGGAGTTAATGCCAGTTTTCTCACTCTTGAAAAATAGTTAAGTCGTTTGAATTAGTCGTCTCGTGTGACCTTTGCCTGGAATAACTGCGGTTTGATTAAGCTAAGTAGTTCAACTAATAAGCAAAACATCGCGGAGGGGGCATTAGGCTACCTGGAATGCGAAATTTTTTCCCAATTTCTGATCCTCAATAATTGGAAAAAATAGGGTTAAAAATACGTCGATCAATGTTGGTTTTAATTACCGAGCTGACTTTTATGGCAAAACCTTTATATTCGAATATAAAGTGATTAAACACGCTTGTTAGTGCAGATATCTCTTTTAAATGGAAGAAAATCTTGCACTGTAGTTGTAGAGCAATTGAACATTCTCGTCAATGCAGAGCTCTCCTTTGAACCGAATCATAATCTGCCCTGCGATTGGTGGAATTGTGCAAACTGCTGAGTGCAAATGGGGGCCACTGCATTTATAAATGTATGCCAATATGTCTGTTACATCTAGCATGTGTCTCAGATCTGAGCAATAACCAAATCATTTGCAGCACTCAAAAGGATCGTTGACACATTGCGTCAGTCTCATCGTGGATTGCTGACGTAATGATTTGAATAGTCCCAAATGACTGAACAAACAATTATAATTCTGAGATAGATTTCTATTAAGTTTACACACTACACAGTTATTTAACTCGAAAATTGTATAATTTGGAAGGCTTCTTCCGTTTGTAGAAATGACATTTTTCTACATAATATACAGTCGTTGGTAAAATACCTCTTATACCAACATTGTAGATAGTAAACAATTACTGTCATTTCATTAAAACACAAGCTACACCCTACGGCCTACACACACACAGGAAGTTCAATTACCAACAAGCCACACATTTGTTCCACAACTCTGAGAGTGAGTTCAGTCTGCAGCAACTTCTCTGGCAGCAGAAACTGCGCTAAACTCGGCTAGAAACTGCGCTAAACTCGGCTAGTTTCAGTCTGCAGCAACTTCTCTGGCAGCAGAAACTGCGCTAAACTCGGCTAGTTTCAGTCTGCAGCAACTTTGCTGACAGCAGAAACTGCGCTAAACTCGGCTAGTTTCAGTCTGCAGCAACTTTGCTGGCAGCAGAAACTGCGCTAAACTCGGCTAGTTTCAGTCAGCCACTAGTTCAGTCTGCAGCAACTTTGCTGGCAGCAGAAACTGCGCTAAACTCGGCTAGTTTCAGTCAGCCACTAGTTCAGTCTGCAGCAACTTCTCTGGCAGCAGAAACTGCGCTAAACTCGGCTAGTTTCAGTCAGCCACTATTCACGCAAAACCTGTTGGTGTACGAGTAGATTTAGAGCTCATCTATCAGATCCAGCATCCTGGTTCCTCACTTATCCCCGTCACAGCTGTAAACGTTAGTTTAACTAACGTTCTGCAGAAGCCAACGAAAAACAAGCAAAATGGGCGCGATTAAATTAGAAATTAAAAACAAATTTGATTAAAGTTCAGCTGTCAACTTTATTTAAATACCAAGCACCAAGTGAAGATCTCGTTATTAATAAACTCGTTATAGCATGACGTCAATAGGGAGGAGATTCTTAATATAAACAGCTCAAGGGATGCTACTGGTAATACTACTGGTAATACTAACTGGTCATTATATTTATTTAACTTTAGTGAGCGTTTAAAAGCGAGCTCTTAAAAACAGTTCTGTTAGATACCGTGTGCCTACATATCTGCAGGTTGAGGACCTCCTTCTGATCCGCAAATAGTGTTTTATTGCACATCTGACAGTATTATAGCAATGCTTTAGTCCTACCAATGGTAGCTGGAATGATGGGTATAATAATTACTGGAAGTTGGAACAACCCCCCATAATACTGCACGGCAAATAATAATTATCATAGTACAACAACTAGATCATCAAGATGGTTCTATAAGAAACACAAAGCGGTTACGGAGCAATTCATTCCAGTCTGGACAATGTGAACTTGCAAAATGCAGATTTTATTGACCACTGTGCTGGATCACATCGAGAAAATGACGCAGGTAACTGAAAGTGAGGCCTTATTAACTGTTGCGTAAGCAAATTTGCCAGGCTGTGACAACTTAGACCAAAAAGACCGAGTGAATGATCTAGGTTGAATTGAATTATAAAATTTTAGATGTTCCCACATTCATGGTGTATTACCAATAGGTCCAATACCAGCTCTCCGTCAATAACTGTATTTAGGGTACCGGCAGCCGGAATGCCCAAGTAGAGAATTTGTAAATGCAAAGGACAAAATTTGTAGAATCGTAGTCTTGAAACCTTTCTTCAACCAGCTCATTTCGACCAGGAAATTAACGCAACTGCAATAAAATTCTATGCTAAAAGTATTTGAGGTATTTTCTGTCCGCAGTATTAAATGAAACCGCTTCAAAAGATCTGCCACTCCTTAGCTTCCACCCAATCGAAAAACGCCACCTTACATTTTTAAAGTAGTCTGACCAATAGGAAATTTCTCAAGTAAGTAAGTAAGTTAATGGGATTTTAGAAATTTGAAAGAATGCAGAGTTCCAAAACCTCATAGCTATAGTTACATTATTGAGGTCTGTAATCTGTATCGATGGTAAACAGAGACTCATAGCTATAGTTACATTATTGAGGTCTGTACTCTGTATCGATGGTAAACAGAGACTCATAGCTATAGTTACATTATTGAGTTCTGTACTCTGTAGCGATGGTAAACAGAGACGTGCTTTTTGCTGATGAAGACTCTGTTCCACGAGTACCGAAAGTCGTAGACTTTATAATCGTATTTTATCCCTTAAGCCGTTGATGGAAACATATAATAGTAATAATAACTATAATAAACATTATCATATTAGTGGACTTTCTTGGTTGGGCTCTATCAATTTATCTTGATCGATCCAATCGTAGTAGTCTGGAACGAGTTAAATTTTAAGTTTGATGTATAAATTGAAATTCTTAAGTTTCAACTAATATTCCAGCGATATATATCGCTGTCAGAATGAAGGTGAGCGATTAGACGGGCGACTACGGAGATGTCGGCCAAACACCCGACCAGTTGCAATTATCAACTAACCTGGAAGATAACAGTTGACGATCTGATCGATAAGCTGCAGTTAGCTGCAGTCTTGCTAGGAGAGTAGGGGGCGTGATACTATAGCACAATCAATAATTTTTACAATTAGTTCATGACGCAGTTAGCATGACACAATACCATAAGATTATTCTAATTACAGTCGCAATTAGCGACAGTAAGTTAGATATAACATGTTAGTAATACATTAGTTAGTTATATGTAACATGCAAGTTGTACAAGTGAACGCGCTATTATTGCAGTTAGTAAATTGACAAACAGGTGAAATATTCAAATTCTCTGACGGCTTACCTTGTTTGACAGTGATATATCGCTGGAACGCTATACTGAACCGTATTTCTCATCATATGGAGGCCACGAAAATCACGCGGACATAGTCAGCTGCAAGTACTAGTAGTAGTACCAGCTCAAGAACATTGTCAGGTGCAAGTACCAGTAGTAGTACCAGCTCAAGGACATTGTCAGGTGCAAGTACCAGTAGTAGTACCAGGCACCGGCTCAAGGACATTGTCAGGTGCAAGTACCAGTAGTAGTACCAGGCACCGGCTCAAGGACATTGTCAGCTGAAAGTACCAGTAGAAGTACCAGCTCAAGGACATTGTCAGGTGCAAGTACCAGTAGTAGTACCAGCTCAAGGACATTGTCAGCTGAAAGTACCAGTAGTAGTACCAGCTCAAGGACATTGTCAGGTGCAAGTACCAGTAGTAGTACCAGCTCAAGGACATTGTCAGGTGCAAGTACCAGTAGTAGTACCAGCTCAAGGACATTGTCAGGTGCAAGTACCAGTAGTAGTACCAGCTCAAGGACATTGTCAGGTGCAAGTACCAGTAGTAGTACTAGCTCAAGGACATTGTCAGGTGCAAGTACCAGTAGTAGTACAGCTCAAGGACATTGTCAGGTGCAAGTACCAGTAGTAGTACCAGCTCAAGGACATTGTCAGGTGCAAGTACCAGTAGTAGTACCAGCTCAAGGACATTGTCAGGTGCAAGTACCAGTAGTAGTACTAGCTCAAGGACATTGTCAGGTGCAAGTACCAGTAGTAGTACTAGCTCAAGGACATTGTCAGCTGAAAGTACCAGTAGTAGTACCAGCTCAAGGACATTGTCAGGTGCAAGTACCAGTAGTAGTACCAGCTCAAGGACATTGTCAGGTGCAAGTACCAGTAGTAGTACTAGCTCAAGGACATTGTCAGGCTGCAAGTACCAGTAGTAGTACAGCTCAAGGACATTGTCAGCTGAAAGTACCAGTAGTAGTACCAGCTCAAGGACATTGTCAGGTGCAAATACAAGTAATAGTACCAGCTCAAGGACATTGTCAGGTGCAACTACCAGTAGAAGTACCAGCTCAAGGACATTGTCAGGTGCAAGTACCAGTAGTAGTACCAGCTCAAGGACATTGTCAGCTGAAAGTACCAGTAGTAGTACCAGCTCAAGGACATTGTCAGGTGCAAATACAAGTAATAGTACCAGCTCAAGGACATTGTCAGGTGCAACTACCAGTAGAAGTACCAGCTCAAGGACATTGTCAGGTGCAAGTACCAGTAGTAGTACCAGCTCAAGGACATTGTCAGGTGCAAGTACCAGTAGTAGTACCAGCTCAAGGACATTGTCAGGTGCAAGTACCAGTAGTAGTACCAGCTCAAGGAAAGCCGCATCACAGTTCACAGATATCAAATTGGAAATACAGACACAAAATCTCGATGACGATCCAGCAGAGTCTGCCAGGAACTTGATCATCAAACTAAAGGAACGGGTTACTGATTTAATGACCAGGTATTACGAGCTTACCGGGTCCCGGAAATTGTCTTGAACTGGATTATATTGATTGCAATCTCAATCCTTATAAAAGGAGCTGTAACGAGCGGTACATATTAATCAAAGGCTGTTTATTGTAAAATATTTACATTGCTTTACAGATTGGCCACAGGGAAGTTGTGGCATGCACTCAGCCAATGGTTGGAACATGTCCTAAATGTAGTGGGTGAGTTGCAGGGAGGTAGGATAGTTGTGATCCATCGCAGAAAACTGGGTTTTCAAACATTTTGAAAAAAATGGAAAAATTTTGAGAATCCATGTAAATTAAATACGAATTGTGCCTTGAAACATCTCCGCCCAAAAAGGGCCTTTTCTATATGTTAACAAGTAAGTTTTGGCCTTTTAAAATCGGTTTGTTTCGGTGGTTCCCTTCTGTGTGTAATTCATGAGGCACGATAAGAGCTCTGAGCTGCAGTTCCAATGGTTTTTGGACAAAAATTATAAATTCGAAAGATGTTTCCATTTTGAGGAATCACTATGAGAAATTCTCTAGTCCACTTGCGCCGATTCATTTAAATAAACATAAAAAGAGTAATCGTTAACACTATAAATGCGCGGCACCTTTTTTTATGTACCGGACGCGAGGTTCGTTTGGACATCTAATTTGAATTGCAAATCAGCTGTTTGACAGAATGCCTCGTTAGAATGAGAATAAACCAATAAATTAAATAGCATGCATCAAATAATACCAATATCGAGTTTGGCTAGCATAAACTAATTACAACACTACTAATTACAAAACTACAAATCTATTGGCTCCAAGTAATTGCGTAATAAATTCACTATACACTACACTACACACTACTATGTCAATGTGTTTACCGTGTTTGGGTGCCCATCATATTTTACAAATGGGAGCAATATATTTGAACGATTCTATTTTATATTCATTTATTGCTGTACTCTGTAAAATTTGAAAAGTATTTAATAAAAATAATTTAAAAAAACATTTATTGAGGAAACGATGTAACAGAGTCAATATATTTTAACGTTGCCATGGGGTGGCAAGAACTCATACATGTTTGTTTGTTTGTTTGTTAATGTTCATTAAGCATTAAGAGTTCTGTAAAATTGCCCACTCAGCGAAAAATTCTTAGCAAAATCCTTATTGAAACCTAAAAATAAGGTCGTGCGGATATTTAGTGCGGATATTTAGTGTTTAGGAGTTGACCGCACTCCATGGATCATCAGCCGGGTAAGATCCGCGGCAGTGGGACCCTTATTTCTGTGGGATCCTGCTATTTCACAGGATCGAACAGAGAAAAGGGCTGGCACGAAGAACAGATAGTGAAACTATTTGTTCCCCCCACTGAGGCGCAAGCAAGGGTTGTTGCCTGGCCTTTTTAAAATCCTCAACGTGGTAGGTAAAATCCAAGTTGTGGTTGCTAAAATCGTGATAAAATCTTGATAGTAGCTGATAAAATAATAAAATCGTGGTCTACTAAAACGCAGACACGGTGCTTAGCTGGTTAGGGTTCCTCTTTTGGGGTCACCAGGACATCTTCTCTGTACGTCACCTCAGATGACAGGATGAGATCCGATAAATCGGAGGCTCATGCTCCTCACAGTCACTTCGATCGGTTGCACTTCAATAATGCAGGGCAGTGAAACCGACTGCGTTAGCCTGGGTGCAGGCGGAGCTGCAGTTTCTGTGAGGAGTTCTGGCTTCACCAAGACCACTTCTTTGTTAACACTAACAGGTAGGACCACTTGAGGAGATTGCAACTCATCTGTTTGAGTCCTGATATCCGCTGTCTGCGGCACTGGTGTAGTTGCGGCATCCGCCACCACGATTCTTTTAGGCATTCTTTTCTCTGCTGCCCTTTCAATTGTACTGATTTTCTGGTCCAAATATTCAGCGAACTCCTCGTTCGCCAAATTGCTCGTCAGCTCGTAGCTGGCCATTCGACTTTCCACGTCCTCAAGAGCAGTGTCGACTGCTCGTTTGCTGGAACGGGCCCAGAAAACTCCAATAATACCGCCAAGGATGACGGCTAGTAGTAAGCCGAAGCTTACTAACATAAGGATTTCTTCGAAGATCATCTTTTCTTTGTCTTTGAAGATGGTAAAAATAGTATTAATTCAAGATAATGATATTGTTGAAGGAATACTGGCAGGAAGATAATCTGTTGTCACAGTATTTATACCCAAATCCAGCACGTGCAAGTTTCAAGTCAGTTGCGCGTGCAAATTGATTTTATCGAGGGGGTTGGTATGGTAACAAGAATCTCGGCTGCTGTGTGAGCATGGTTGGTCTGTTTGACCTGGGAAAGGGAAGGTAGCAACCAGATTCATGTAAACCCACATCTATCAATAAAAATCTTCAAGCTACGCTACTCTGTACTCGCTAAAACACATTAGCCCATAAATTACTTAATTACACGCTTTAGAAATTATCATCACAGGACAACATTACACTTAAAAACTTTGAACATAACACGAGGAAATATGGACAGAACTGAACAAGAACCACATTCGAAGACTGAAAAATCTGGAGGACTCTGCAACCCAGGAATGAACTATTCACTTATCATCGCTCAATTATCATCAATAATCGGTTTGGTATCGACGTTACAAACTTTGATTTTCCGACTTTAAAGCTGAACTCTAAATGCTTAATGAACACACTTGCAGGTACCACCCGTATTCACACGCAGACCTGAGTTTAGTAATTTCCGATACAAGATTGGGGACGGGTTCTATAAACAAACAAACAAACAAATAATATATTATATTATATCGAATATTATTACAATTAAGAACCACAGTGGAAAATGTTGGGATTTTAATTTCGCAGAAAACGATATAAAAATAATCGTACGATTATCGACGATAATCGTCGCGCGCGCGTTAAACGCACGATAATCGTCTAATCTGACGATAATCGTCATATTTGGCGAATAACGCTATTTCGCGACGTTTATTAGGCGATAATGAGCGATATCACGATAATCACACAATAAATCATGGAAATAAAATGTATTTGTTATTTCATGTAACGAAGGAAGTATTTCGGTTATGCTTTAATATGGAAATCAGAAATCGGATTCATATTTACAGTCTACTGGTAATGTTCCGCAAGCTTCGTAATCGTAGTGAACGCAAAACGAATGAAATTGAAAATGTCATGTTTCACAATGAAATTTGATACTTTAATTTATTGTTATCGATAAGATTAGTTACATATATGATATAAGACAGCGGTAGTAAATATGAAATATTTATCATCTATCTAAGTTTGGCACGCAGCGCGCGGGCCGGTATCTTTTGTATAATGTATAATATGTAGTTTCCTAGTGTAATGTTTAACCCGAGAAGTAATTGCCACAGTGAAAAATTAGATTTTATAAAATTATATTATTCATTTTAACTATTGTGTTTAGTGAACAAATTTTAGCGATCATTGAAAACATTTGTCAAATTGAATTTAAATTAATGTCTAAGCGGCGGGCCAGCGCGTTATTTTGAGCCGCGCACCAAAACCGATTTTAATGGACTTAGAATTCATAATACGAATCGAGCGCCTGTAATGTCGTTCGAGACAGATACGCTCTCCTTGGTAACGAGCCAAGTCTATTGTTTACATTTTGTACGTGATAAATCTGATCGGGCCTTGTGATAGGAATTTAGTAGTCGGCAGTCAGAACTTTAATGACGATTATTTAGATACATGAAATTGTGTAATTTGCAATCATAACTGTTTTGACTTTTGAACCACGCAACTAAATTACTCTTGGTAATCAGTAAAAGTAATAACACATTCACAATAGAACTCAAATGGATAATTCGAGACTGGTAATGTTCGCCGGGCTTACTGAGACGAATCAGCTGAAGCCCCTGGGCTCAAATGAGCTCAGGGGGAAATGCTGGCAGTGAGTTATCTTACCAGTTACCTCAATTATGAATATTCAAACATAGCATCAAAAAATTTCATTTTGAACAACACTTTAATAAAAAGATTTTATCCGTTGAGAAACTAATAATCACCAATTCAATCCGATTTTATTGAATCATAATTTCAGACACTTTCGAGCACGGTACCCCGGGCTGAAGGAGACAGCGATCAGGCAGGCCATCGCCAAGTTCTGCTATATCGAGGGTAAGAAATTACATAATGAGTTTGGCTCTAACACACTTGATTAATTTTGTAGTTCAAATTAATGTATGGTAATCTACCAAGTCAATACGTTACATTTGAGCTTGATTCGGTGACTTGAGGAACTGCCCATAAGACAAAATATTGCAGAGAGTGCTGTTACCCCAGCACAATGCCGGGAGGTGCGGCTGCGGATGAAAAAATACGCAGCCGACGAGAAACACCGGCTGAAGAGAAGAAAGCTGGATCAGGAGCCGCAGCAGAGCACCAGCTCAGGGACCCAAACGGATCCCATACACGCTCTGTCTTGTAAGGTAGGGTCTCGTTTCTCAATTACCACCACATATTTGGTATTATACTTATTCTAACTGCCACGTATTTTCCTCATAATTGTGATGACTACATCCACCAACTTCTAATTAGGATTGCGAGACCGCCTCAATGAGGCACCAAGTAGAGTTGCATCAGGCTAAGCTGGCGGAAATGAGGACCGAGCTGCTGCTGCGGGAGTGCAGCTCACCAGTTCAGTCCCAAGTGGCTGAAAGGAGGTAAGACTGATTGATAATATTTCTACATGTTCCAATATTATTTTCTCATCTCTTTTCATACTCATTGGGAAGAATTCACCCGACAGTTAAATCTTGATTTGTAACTTTATTTCAGTACGGCGGTGATATTTACACCACAGCGGGAGTTTGCTAGCTCTTCGGCCCTCCCGACTCTCGAGGTCAGACCGTCACCGAGGTCGAGAGTCGCCTCACAAGCCTCGTACGCCTCAAGGTGAGAAGTCATTATAAGAAACTTTTTGCGTTTTGTTTCTAGATGTTTGAGCAAGTAAGAATGATGATTAACAAGAGCGCAATGCACACTTTCTGCTATCATTAACAACTGATTTTCACTTTCAGTGCGAGCGATTGTTTTGGACCAGAGTCCATTATTGAGAGCCGGGTGAGACAGGCGGCCCAGAAAAGGGCTAGAGATTCAGCCAAGAAAACTTTCAGTTTCAAAGATTTTAGATAGATTTATTGTGTTCTCTGAGAAGATTTATCATCATTTTGCAATTAAACTTTCAACTAAACTTGTAATTAAACTTTCAACTAAACTTGTAATTAAACTTGTAACTAAACTTTTCACTGAACTTGTAACTATGAATCGATGTATAATGTATATTGTATAATGTATCTAATGTGTAATGTATTTAATGTATAGTGTAGGTAATGTAAAAAGTGACAGATAAATACCCAGAACTTGCAGGCAGTTTTCACGCTCATTGATAATCAGAACTGAATTTTACAACATATTAACATTTAATTTCCCTGAACTGCAATGTATTTATCTGTCAAAGCCCCAAACGGTCTATCAGCCTCCACGCGGCTTGGGGTGGGTGGTGTATTGATGTATTTCTGTAATTATCGTACACTAGCGAATGATTCCAAAAAAAGTATTTTCATTTGTCTTCGGAAGTTACTTAACTCTTGTTGCATGAAACCTAGAGGCACAGTAATCAAATTCAAGTAAAATTCATATTTTAGATCGTATCATGAAACAGTGCCCTTGCGTTGTCTGCAATGGTGAGAAAAGAACTGAACGTACCATAAAGGAGCATCTGGTCGAGTATGGACATTCAAAGAAAACTTTGCTGACAGATTTTCTCGAGCATTCGACACCAGATGACAAATTGTTCCACTATGCATTGAGGTAATTTAGCATTAGTAAATCGTCACAGAGATAAGTCAAACAAAGTTTAAAAATAAACTCCATGGCAGTAAGTTGAGCAGATAATTCATCCATTTAACCCAACAGGAAAATGCTGGAGAAGAGTTTCTCACAAGGAACAATCGTCGAAGTGAAAGGTTTACCGGGTAAACCCCTAGTGATTACTTCGATAATCAAGCCTCAGAAAAATATAGCTACACCTGCAGACAGCACGAAGAGGAAACACGCTAAAGTGTTCAAGGATATCGTAGAGAGCCAGGTATCTATCCTAAATAGTGTTATCAGGTTATTTTTAATCTGTAATAATGTGCAGACCAGATTGCTTATTGATCAACCAGAAATGGTGATGGTGGTGAAAATAAATAATGGATGCACTGTTTGCAGGCTGAATCAAGTTGTTCGAAATGTCCCGAACATGAGATCGATATGGTAACGAAACGAATAAGAACAGCTCAGATAAATTCGTTATCAAAAGAAGAACGTCAATACATCAGTGCCTCTACTGGAGTAAAGAGTATAGAACCAATTGACGCTCTTCATGTTGCCATGTTCAAAGCAGAGTGTGAGTGCTTGAGTTTAAATTCTAACTGTTGATATAAAACATAGATATGAATACCGAACTAACATATCATGAGTAAGGCAGATTCTCATATTGATAAACTTTCCAGCGAACACGGGGACATCCAATGTTCGTAACAATCTGCGACCTATGCTGAAGAAATTTGATATCAAATTAGAATCAGAGAAAGAGATAAAAGCAGTTGAAGAGTCTTATACTGTAAGTTCTGATCTTAGTCACATACACTACTTGCTGATCTCGCGATAAATTTAGCACTTAAATCTAATACAGTCTGTCATCACTAAAAATCAGTTAAATTCTCAATTCTCATTGAACATCCTAAGGTGAGTTACATGAGTGCAATGGTGTCTCTGTCGCACAAAGCGGCGGCTCATGACAAGAACGAGACCAAAAGCGGCGATATTCTGGCACGGAGAACACCAGTGGCCTACTGCGATGGCCAAGAATTGCTGACAAAAACACTTGTAACGTTGAAGAATACAGGTGATTAAGTTTTCTCTATTTCTGTTCGTCATAGTATTAACATTAGGATAGAGGCTGTCTTGTTTATGAATTAAGTTTTTATCAGCTGACCAAAATCGGCAATTAATGTTGCAGGACAGTTACAAATCGGGAGCGATAAAAAGATTTACACAAAAATTTTTATCGATGCAGACATAAAGTCGACAAAAGTTGCGATCAATGTCCTAAATCAACCTAATTGCAACAGCTCCTATGCCCACGCTATGTTTGTGTACACAGAGGCTCCTGACCATCAGCGAAACATGGATGTGATTTTCAAGGTATATTTCTTTATAAAATGTAAAATTTGATCTGCCTTTCGTGAAATTATAAACCCAACGTCATATAAGTATAGACCTGATGACACACAAATGTAAGGTTGACACCACAGGTGGTAAATCGGGAGTTAATACAGCTAAAAACACTGTCATTCTGTGGAGCTGATGTTAAGCTGATGTTGTGTGCAGACACCAAAGCACTGTGGGCTGTGTTAGGAATGGGCAGCAACGGGACTTATCCATGCCCAATGTGTGAGATACACAAAGACCTCATGAAAGTTCCACGAGCACAGAGATCAGCTGCCAAACCCCGGACCTTTGCTGGAATCAAGCGAAACTTCGAAGACAACATGAGGTAATGTAGTTTCAAAATTGAAGAACTTAATCCACTCTCTGCTTGCATCGTAAGGAATTGAGTAAACCCTGTTAGGTACTCTGTTATGAAGGACTTGACCCTGAATTTCGTTTTCCAGGATGACCCAGTGTAACCCGAGATCCCAAGCGAAATTCCTGAATGTTGCATCGCGACCTCTCACAGACTGTTTCGGGAATGATAATGATGATCTGATTAACTGGGTCGCTGTTCCGTTCTTGCACATAGTATGTGACACGAATTGAAAAACTGTTGATGTTCATTCCTGTTTCAGTCGTGCTTTATTTATTTGAATTAGCTAATTTTCATCGTGGAAAACAGTCACGAAACCTTAAGCTTTCTCAGACCATCAAAGTGGGGACTGTCCTGTGGACTGAGTACGGTAAATTGTGCGAGGACATTGACTTTGTGCTAGCTTGCAACGTCACGGACGGATTTCTCCCCAACTGTTATAGCAGCACAACTGACTTCGGTGCCATGATCCTCCGCATACAGCAAGGTACTTGATAAATGTCTTGTTCCAAAACAATACGAGGGTTTTCGAGTAACAATTAAAATTAGAAAGTATTTTCGTTAGATGGTTACAATAAACAAATTCTCTTCTTAAGGTAATCGTGTAGCCACGAAATGTAACAGTGGCCCGCTCTCCTCTCAATATGAGAAGTTTCTGAGGGGAATTAATGTAATACCTGAGGCTTATCATGGTGTGTCGCTGACGGGTGTTAGAGCTGGATACCTGCTGAAAAGTGACGACTCCCAATTCTGGAGGGAACAGTTTTACCAAAATGAGTGAGTTGCGTTTAATCAGAACAGTTAATCTCATGAACAAATAACGAATGAGTTGATAAATCTCCTTTGCAATTGAAAAGTTACCACGTGAATGACAGGGTCTGTATTCAGGAATTTGAGACCACAGGACAAGGTGCATTTTCAGCATCGACTCTTAGCCCTCGACAGGATTAAGACCGCCTACAAAGATCTCTTGGTTGTTGGAGGCAAGAGCGGGAAGGCAGAACCTCAGGATATAAAGACTCTGATACAGTCGAGAGATATCTTTTTAGAGGAGTACAGGAAATTTGGACAGTCATCGTCTATCAAGGTATTGTTGTAGCTTGTAGCGAAACTGGCATTCTTCCAACTCCCAAGATAGCCTGCAACAATTTAGGATTCGTGCTTAAGTCTGATATTGGAAAATTCTAGTCTGATTAATTGTAGTAATTCTCCAGCATCGTTTTCTTAACAACCTTTCAATTTAACTAGATCCACATGCTCGAGGATCACTTTGTCGACCAGATCATACTGTGGGGGATGTTATCGGGCTCATTTAACGAGCAAGGAGGAGAGAGCTGTCATTCCCTTTTCAAGCGACATGAACACCTGACTAGTACGAAAATCAGCTAATTTAAGACAGTTTGATCAACTCATTTGGAGACAGAAGTTTAAGTCAACTCGTTATTAGCATTAATCACGTTTAAAGTGTACAAATAATCTCTTTCCCCCTTTCAATTTTCATGCTAGACAGTCACTATACAGTAGAATCTTAACAGCGACAATTTTCAGATCACATTCGCAACGAAGAGGAAAGAGTGACTAAGAAATGTGAAATAGCCACCAGGAAATATCTCCTTAAACTTAAATCACGGCAAAAGTCATGAGCGGACACTATTATGATATTTGAAACACATCTTTCGGAAAACGCTGCCTATTCATTATTCTACTAAAAAGTTTTCGTAAGCAGCGACTGCAACAAGATTCGCGCACGCGCGTTTTTATCGCCGCGCGAAGCTTTTAAAATTTTGATTACGTGTCAAGAGTGTGCGATTAACACAATGCTAGACCTGTACGAAACCTTATTGAAGCTCTTAAAACCGATTAACGTGCAGTTGTCAAGCATAATTCCGAGTTTTCCGGTCAAAAATGGATTCAAAACGACTGAATAGTGAAAATAGTTTCAATGAAACTCGTTTATTCAGCAAACATGGAGAATAACGCTCCTTACAGCTCGATGCATTGTTTTAAGTGACTTTCAGGTATTTGAAACTGAAATGCAAGCAAGTCAGCTTAATTCTGACCCATTGATGAGGCATCAAATATTAAATAATGGTAAAGAGACCGGTTCCTCCCAAAACCTAGTTTTAGAACCTACTTAGATGTCAGACTTGGGTGAACCATGTAGCTGTTAAGATATATCAACTTATTTGATATGTGCACGCATTCTACATGAGTTACTGATCATACTCAAATCACAACCACCATGCTAATAATATATTAATAAGCAAATATCATACTTGGAGTTTTATCCTCGATGGGCGAGCAATAATTGGACGTTTCTCGTCATTCTGACGTTTATCGTACGATAGAGAGGCGAGAAACGATTATCGTGCGAATATCGACGATAATCGTCGGGATGTATAATAATTGCGCGCAGCAGACGATTATCGTCGATTATCGTCAAACTGCACGATTAACGTACGATTATTGTGCGCGACTAAAATCTGCGAAATGGCCCATATTTTCCACTGTGGAACGCGCCTTGCGCGCGCGCAATTTCTGTCGAACTGAACAGTAAAAAGATTTGCTTACTATAGTTTTTACAATTTCGCGCTTTACGAACTCATCATCCGGTGAATTGGCATTTTGGATATTTCATGCTTGCTGTGAATATTTTAACCAAGTTTGGCAACATTTTTATCTTCAATGGTATCATCAGTTGGCCTTAATATATGGCTTTGTATTTGTACGTGTTTAGAATAAATAAGCGACTAAATTTTTAGATAAAGATCAAATCTTATCACGACAAAATAAATAGAAAACAGCTTCTATAATCTTCAGAGGTGTATTGAAAATTTTCATCGCATCATGAAGATTTCAAATCGGAGGGTATTTCTTTCAAAAGTTGTTACGTTACTTTAAACCAGTTAGAGCTAAAATTTCATCTAGATTGGCGCTGATCAAATCTAACTCCTCTTCCATTTTGCCCAAATCATCTCCAACAACGGTATCAGTACTTGTAGTTGAGATCTCACTCATTGTAGAGCTTCGACCATCAGTGTTCAAAAGGCTTGATGACCCAGAAGAAGATGATGTGTCAGACCTCGTCGAGCTAATAGAAGTTGATGTCTCCGAGCTGCTTTCTCCTGTCATCAGATTTGACATGGTGAGGTTCCGTCCATGTTTGATATCTGACAGACGGTCGTTAAAAACCTCTTTTCTTCTTTCTATATCCCGCTTTTTAGTCTCTACACGGGTTAGCAAGGTACCGACGTCCTCGTTCAGAAACTTCAACTTACCGTGGATTGGTAAATCAGCGCTGGCAGTAGAGCGTCTCTTAGCTATCCTACTTTGAGACTTCTTGCGGAGTAATACTTGTTCAAGTAGAGGCATGGAACTGTCAGTATTGGTAGAGTCAGAGTCAGAGCTGACTTGGTAAAGCTTACCCGATATATCTTCAAACAACGTCATCATCTCTTGGCTCAAGCCATTCATATCTGTCTGCAGAAGTTTTAAATCCTTTTGTTCATCTGAAGTCACCTTTTCTTCGGATGGTTTTTGTTCCTCTAAAGTCTCCTCTTTTTCAGATGGTTTTTGTTCTTCTATTTCTAAAGTCTCCTCTTTTTCAGATGATTCACATTCATCAGTTGCCGTCTCATATTCTAAAATACTGAACGAACTTGTCGTGCCACTGACATTAGATTGTGAAGAATAAAGTGAACTCTCATCCTGATCAAGTAACTGTTTTCTATTCACACTATTATCACTGTCGGACAGATCACTACTATCAACAGGTGAAACATAACTTTTCACTGACTCATTCTCCGACAGATCATAGTGAAATGATGGCGTATTATCTAGTGGTAACAACCCAAACAATGATTTGTTATTGTCCACGATTGCCTGGTTCTCATCGACTGCTGAGCTGTCCTGCCAGGATTTATTACCACAATCCAGCTCACAATCTCCAGACAATTTCCACTCTCCATTCTCTAGTTCGGGGACACTCTTTAGGAACCTCATTAGAGTCTCAGTTTCAATGATAGAGTTGTTAAATAGTCGGGTGGCATGTTTACAAAGGCATGCTGTGGAGAGGGCGTCCAGGGTGGAATGTAAGGAATGCACACATGATATGAGGCTTGAGAGTGTGATCTCGGTGATGTATAGCATTCTGAGGGGTGAGGTTTATGTGTAGATTACAGTTTAGATTTAGGGTTATGAGATACTTTATAGGTAATAAGTCAGGTTGCTAAAATCATCATTTGAGGAAATCAACGAACTTGTTTAGACAAACAGGACACTTTTTAAAAATTCTTATTCTTTTTGGAATTACCTCTTTTTAATTACCCTTTTTAAAGTGAAGTCACTAACAATACAGGTAAAACCTTATATGTTTTGTGTATGAACCAAACATATTTGGTTCATACACAAAATATGGTTTCGTATGATAGCCTATTTAACTATAAATTCTGGGCTATGCTGAACTTTAGACCGCCAGACTTTACAGAACTTTAGACCGCCAGTGTATAACGGATGATCCTTAACAGTGACATTTATGTTAATCTTTCACAATGCCGACTGCAATTAACTGAACTTCTATATACTTTATTGTTTTTTAAATAAATGATACAGCGTATTAATGAGAAATAATGTAAGAAATAATGAATCCATAGTTATTCATTATGCAATATTATCAATTTAATGAATTTTCAGCTAAATAACAATAAGTAAAATGCCGCAGTTTTAGTCTGGATCCTGAATTACATCTTGTATCAATTTAAAAACAAGCAAAAATTAATTTTAAGAGGAATCGGCAACTTACTTCATCAATAACGAGTTTTCAGCATTAATAGCACTATAGGCTCTAGTATAACTTTTGGTCAGACTCCACAAAAAAGGAAAAATTCGTTCTTACAGGGTTACTAAATCACGAGATAAGAACTGATTTCTAAATATAAACTAAATCTGATAAGAACTAAATCATAAGATAAGAAATGATTTCCATTTAAAGTCTGAATTTTCATTAGCCGATAAAGGGAGTTATCAACATAAAGGAAGAATAACCCAACAATTAAATTAGCCGTCTACACTTTAATAGCACAATTTTAAAAGGAAATTTGATAATAATACAATTTTACGCAAAACAGTCACTAAAACAGTCGCTAAACAATCGCTAAACAGTCACTAAACAGTCACTAAACAGTCACTAAAACTTGTAAAACTTTCAAACTGATAGTTCATGTTCGGCCAAAATTATTGAGTTTGAGAAATCAATGCACTAAAAGTAATCAAACGTAAACCGAATAAATTTTGTAACAAATACCGAACAACCGAATCACCGATTGCTGGCCTGTCTTGAATCAAACTGGTGCCTGTCGTACGTCAGTAATACCTTGTTCTCCTCCTCCGGTGTGTGCCATAGTCCCTCATTAGAGGAGTTAAGGCCCTGTTCTCCCGAGGAGCTAGGGAAGCTCTCAAAGCTCTGCTGGTGGTGGTATTGGCTCTGAAGCAGTGTCAGCTCCTGCTCCAAATCAGGTACACTCTGTGAGTCTATGTTATAGAGACTGTAGTCTGGGGCAGGTGCTAATTCTTTATAGTCCCACGACCGGGATGGGCCTAGTCGCTTGTGTTTCCCACTGGGTAATTCACTTTTTTTCTGCCTTATAGTTTCATGTAATTGTTTAGTTTCTGGTGCATTGCGGCATTTGTGAGCAACGCCAGGTTTATGTACTGTGCTAGGTTTCTGCGCCACTATCCGCTGTCTTTGGTCCGTTTTAGCAGTAGCTTTCTGCAATGCACCAGGTTTCTGCAATGCACCAGGTTTATGCACCGTGCTTCCGTAAGCTCGGTGCGGCTGAGCCAAGTTGGTGGGTGGGGGTGGCTTCTTGCTCAGATGCTTCTTGCAGCATTTGAAACAGGACATGAGGATAGAGGCGATGACGACGACAAAGAAGAGTCCCGCAACTGCAAGGATGATACCCAAGTAGTTGGTAGTTTCACCCGACATGTCATCTCCTTCCTGGGTAGGGGAGGTGTTGGTTACATTTTATGTTAGAACATTTTATGTTAGAACATATGAATTTCGTGCTCTATTCGAGTATTTGAGGCTCAAATAGAACGTTGAATCTATCTGAAGTTTAAAACGGTACGTGTAAAGAAGTATTCGAAGTATTTTGGATTAAAAATGAAAACTCGGCAATTGTCTACAAATGTTAAAGTGAAGTACCTGGATGTTATGCCAGTTAATGTACAGTTTTATTGCCACATTAATGGAATTTGGATGGCTAAATTATCGATAACTTAATAATAATATTTCAATATTGCCAATACAAGAGATATTTCCGTACAGGATAAAGAATATAAAATAGAAGCATAATTATCTTTAATATTGTACGACAAATTTCTCCAGTTATTGCTTTAATCTAATATGGTATTGATACAAAGTACAGTATATAATAGTATCTAAGCATGTAAGTATATTTCAGTCACATACACGATATAATATAGCCTAAAACGTTTCTGATTCTCTAGACATCTCTACATTTCCGCCCCTTATGGTGCAAGTTACCCCAGCTCTAGGTCTCCACACTAACATTACGTGTAACAGCCTGCACAGAGCGAGTTTAAGAGCAGAAGTCCTTTTATTTATGACAGGAAACAGCAGGACGATTATCAGGTGTAATAACGGTCTGGACTACACGCCTCGCTGCATATTAGCTCTGCTGGATGGCAAATAAAGGTTTAAACTCAGGGTCACGTGACCTCGTTAGTAGCAGGAGATGGACTGTAGTACTGCAGCTCTAGCAGGCAAAGTGCAGGTGTAACCTGTATATTTAGCACACGGAAAGTTAATATAGTACAGCTAAAGTTGTGAGTCTCGGATGTAAGAGCAGTGGTATGATCCAGTTCTATAGGTGATATATCGATTAAAACGTTTACAACCTGAGATAATTTTAATGTAATAATTATAATGTAACTTGTGTTCTCTTAGTATTGAATAGTTAGGTCAATAAATGGACACAGTTGTTGAATTCTGATAAGTGATAAAACGGTAAAAGAATTTATAAAATTAAATCAGCTAAAGCGAAATTACTAAACTCTTAAACAAAATACCAATAACATTTGTCTCGCGAAATTTAAGAAAGAGCTCCAACAATCAAAACAAAAGCTGGGCTGTTTAGCAGACTTCAGATTTAGAACAAAAATTAAAATCCAAATTTCCGTAGTGACAAGGTAAGAACGGAGGATGCAATGGTTGATTAGCAAATCCGATTATCATGACAAAACACTCCACTCAATTACAGGATCATTCAATGTTCATCATACTTCACTTGTACTTGCCACTTGGTTATCATCTGCCTTAACTATCATTTCCAAATACTGTGGTAAGAGTTTTAAAAAATTGAACAAGTTTTAGGATAAAAGCATAAAAAGATAGTATCAGCGTAAAATTACGTGTTCTCGATAGGCATAATTATGGAAATTTGAAGGCAACTGTATGTTAATTACCTCACTTAAAGATTACATATTTTCATATGGTAAGTTCAGAAATTAGAGCTTAACATCTACCTATTATCAGCTTCTAACTGGAAATACATTTTATTTAATTATCACATATTATTACTGAAGTTAAGTTACAACACTTATAATTATTTCAAGCCTATCACACTATTGAATAAAGTAAACCTGTCTGGATGTGCCAATAGCGCAGCATAAAAATATCATCATCGTCACTCAATATCATCAATCTTCAGCCTTTACTCAGTCATACGCAGCAGTGCCTCGTTCTCAATATTATACTCAACAGTACGCAACTGCTTTGAACTATGACCATCTTTTCTTGTCAACCCTTATCAGTTTCAACTTATCAGATATCTCATCATATCAATATCATATATTTTATATTTTATATAATCTGCAAGAAATAAAATACACTTCCTACGAAAGAATTTGATCAGCTCAAGGATTCTCCTCAATGGCACTGGCCAGGGAGGCCATACTCTCCACACTGTAATAAAAGCTGTGTCGTTTCAGGACCTGATCACTGCCACTGTCTAGTTCAAGGGGAGGAACTGGTGATCGCTCTCGGCCGTGCACGGCTGAGCTTGTAATTTTTGGGTATTTTCGTCCATTTATAGGTATTGATTTGGCTGGATTTTTACCGTGCCCTGAAACAGCCTTGTTTTTATGGAGCTGATTACAATAGTTTTCTTTGCTCGAGGATGGAGCAGGTGTATATTTAGCGGCTCCGTTAGGAAGCTGCGCCTCAACGTTGCCCGCTGCAAGTGCTTTTTCTTGCTCAGTTCGTAATGAAAGTGCTTTCCTGCGTCTCTTCATGATACACTTGTAACATGACATACAGATTGAGAAGAGCACTGTGGTGGAAAAGAGACCAACCACCGTGAAGATAATTCCCATGTACTTACTCATCCTGCCCTGTAAAGATAAGATAATATAAATTTATTATATAAGCTTTAAATTCGTTTAAAAAATGGGTCATGTCAAGATGAACTAAATCCAACAAAGCAACAAATGAAAGTGCGATTGTAGCCGTTCCAAATCAGCTTTTGCGAGGGTTTAAGTAAAGATTAACATCGGAAATAGAGTTTGAAACTTGAGTAAGCAAGGTAAAGAGTAAGGTTGTGTATTCAGAACTATTATCTATCATAACAGAGCAAGTAAAATAAATGATAATTGCAGTTTTAGTCTGTAAATTTCATATAATTGTGAACAAAAATCATTTGCCAACAGACATTTCACTAGACAGTGGACAAACTCCTAAATATCATTATCAAGCAGAATTTAATCATTGTTTTTATGCAACGATCACCATGAATATAGAACTAAACGGAATTTCCATTCATTTACACAACGTTTATGTACAAACTGTACCTCTTTATAAATCTAACTCTTGCATTTACATGAACACCAATCTCGTAAGAAAATGATAATCATTAATCACGAATTCAGATCTTCAAAGATTAGAAAATTCTGCCATTTTCCCCCACGATTCACCGACCTCCACCTTAACTTTCAAGGGAACGGAAAGGTGGATTTCACTCGTAAACTCGGACGACTCTAACATTTGATAAATGACACGTGCAAACTGATCCACGTTCTCGTGATAAACTTCATAAAGTAGCTCGTCATGAATCTGGATGAGAAGTTGAGCATTTACTTGATTGTTAGATTTGAGATAGTCAGAGAGTTTCAGCATTGAGACCTTGCAGATGTCAGCTGCAGAACCTTGGATGACAAAGTTCACCGCTTGTCTTTCAATAGACTTTCTCAGGGCAAAATTGCTTTGGTTGATATCTGGAAAATGTCTTAAACGATTCAGAATTGTCCGCAGTTTTTTGGTACCTCTGGCCCTTTTGATGACAGCGTTTGTGAACTTGGATATGTTCTGAAACTTTGCAAGAAAACTGCTCATCAACATCTTAGCCTCTGATAGTGAAACTTTTAGTATTTGGGATAGCTTAGGAATTCCGACACCATAGATAATAGCATAACAAACACGCTTAGTTTTGTTCCTCTCAACATTAGAGACACTCTCCGATGGAATACTCTTCCAGGAGGCAGTTAGAGTAGTGAAAATGTCGTCGGAACTTTTAAACATCTCAATTAGTTCCTGGTCTTTAGCAAAATGGGCAAGAATTCTCATCTCGATAGAACAGAAATCCACTGCGACAAACTGGCATCCCAGGGAGGGTACGATAATTTCTCTTACAGAATGACTGCTCTGTTCATCGTCCACATTGTTTTCAATAACGTCTTTAGGAAATGCCTGAACGTTAGGGTTGAAAGCAGCCAAACGGCCTGTAGCTGCGGATGTTTGGTCCCAAGAGGGGTACAGTTTTCCAAACTTCATGTACTGATGCAACCCATCCACATACGTTGATTTCAATTTACTTATCCTGCGATGAGCCAGAATGATTCGAGGAAGAGGATGAAGTTCTGTTAGTTTTAACAAACATGCCTCAGATGTGCTCTTTTCCCGTTTAGCTGCTGTCCGAGACATGTTATCTGGTATTTTCTCGTCTAATTTCAGCTCTTCGTAAAGAATTTGTCTTAACTGTACAGGGCTGGTTAACAACACATGTCGACCTAGTACGGATGATGCCTCCTGTTCTATAACTGACAATCGTTTTGTCAGATAGATGCTCAACAGGTGAAGCTCTTTTTTGTCGATACAAATACCAGTTTGGCCCATTTGGCATATTGTCCCAAGAAGAGGACATTCCAAGTATTGGAACAGGTTTAATAGCCTTTCCTCGGTGAGATGACTGTAAACTGCTTGTTTTATATCTAAAATCAAAGCGAGAGAGGAATGAAGTTGGAAGGAAAAGTTGTTATGTGAAGCCACATTTGCAGTAGCTAAGTTATACCTCGAATGAAGATCGGACAATTTCTGTGGTACATCATCAGATGTTAGGAGCCAAGACGCTATCTTCAGGTCTATCATATTCTTAACAACTTCGCCGTTCATTAGAGGCTTGATCAGGATATTGCATACAATGTAAAGTTGATATGCATTGAACGAAATTTTGAGGATATCAGATGACAAAACTATGTGCAGAAATTCCACAACGGAGTCATCATTATCACCCAAGGCAGAAACCGGGACATACAGACCCATGGCCATGTGATCATTCAATTGATCTACCTTAAACAGAAAGCATATTCCGGACACAGTTATTTTTTCAAAAGTTTGTCTGGAGGATCCTATACCTAGATGCGAAGTGTTATCTGAATAGGAAAGAGCAACAGCTACCTCCTCACATTTCAGCAACACAGACCGGACAGCCCATCTTTCAGATGAAGTTAAACTTTGAAAATCTTTAAAAGGTTCTTGAATAGAGGAGGATTTTGGTAAACATTTTGACTTGAGAGTTTCCAAAATTTTTATCGGGTTACTCATTCCATCTTCTGGTTTTGTGATCACCGGAGAATCTTGTTGCGGAATATTTTTACAGTCCAATGTTCTGTTGAAAGCTTCCTTCAGAGACTTTGAAAATGTACCCTTTTGACTAGTAGCACTATCAAAGTTTCCTGACTTGTTTCCACTTATTGTGTAATGTGTGTTAGCTGAGGTTGACGGTGAAGATTCGAATGGTGTGTTACTTTCAAATAGATTAGTGTCAAACATATCAGCGACCAAAGAATTGTTTTTCTGGCAGGTACCAGCTGAGGAATCCAAATTGTTGGAAAATAATGGGATGCTGAGTTTATTCCGATTTTGACTGTTGAACTGAGTAGATAGCATAACATGCCCTGGTGAGGACAGAGCAGGTGAAGATTGCAATGAAGTCGACCTGTTTGAAAATGACCTGATTAGTTTCTGCTTTCCCCAATTTGCACTAAAGAGACGAGGAGTATTTCCAACTGATTGTGAACTTGGTGTTTCAAGTCCAGAACGTAACATATGTACTAGGTTGGTCCGTTTTCGTTGTTGATAGACATTAGACCAGTTTTGTGGGAGGCGAAAGTTTTTATATTTTTCACGCAGTCTTTGGTAAACATGCTCATTGAAGTCTTTGTGCTGCGTACAGTTACGCTCCATGACTATATTAAATGTTGATCAGTTTTGAGACTCAATACCAAATGTGAGCAACAGTAAAAAGAATTGAATCCTTGCCTCTTTACAAAATTATAAGGGGGCCAAATCATCGTTTGAATGTGGGATAATTTTGAAAAACTTAACGTATGGTGCTGGGTTTCTCATGGAAGGACAAGGTCAGCAATATAACTTTGTATGGTAGCCTTTGGACTACTCAAAACATTTGAATATTCGTGGTGCTACTCGACATTAGGTATAGTAGACTAGTGATATTAATTATCGAAAATACCGAGCCTGTGTCATTAATTCGCATAGTGCCTGTACCAACCGTGCGGCCAGATTGCAGGATAAAATTTACGGTTTAGTGATTTAAATATTACCGGAACACGGAAGAGAACAATTCTAGCAGCAAAATAATCGGGTAATCCGTAATATATAAGTATAGTAAGGATTTAACAAGGATGGTTAATATGTTGGCAGGGTTATGGACTTATAGTTCAATCATAACTCAAAACAATAATGCCACTATATCATATATATGGGATGTTTTCGTTACCTGGGGACCTCAGGCTATAATGTTCATAAACATAATAGAGATTTGGCGGAATGACAGGCTGAGCGCGGCCCAGTAATGCTTTCGTCGTTCAATATATACCATAACACGAAATTAAAACATCATTTAAACATATGTGATTGTGAAATTATTTTAGTTAATCTAGAAAACTATAACAAAAAAGTAATACGTGTAAGAAAGATATGATTTCTAAGGATATTTCTAATAATTCACATTTTTGGAATGTTACAAATGAAGTATTAGGGAGAATTGAATGTTGAAGGACCTAGCTATGTTAGTAATAAAGAGAAGCATAACGATTATCTTTATTATCCTCAATTTGACAACGCTGGCAGAGCAGCGAATACGTGGGGACCTTATTGAAGCTTTTAAAGTAACTAGTGGTTTGACTGAATATGGATCGGGTTTGTTCAGAATGAGCAGATCTGGTCTTAATCTAGTTTCAACCAATAGGTGGTTGTAAGAGTGTAACTAAAGTTAAGAATCTCCAGTCTTCTTTTCTTCCGGAGCGAATCATTCCTTACTGGAACAAACTCCCTTCAGATGTCAAGAACTGCTCGACAGTTTTAAGCTTTAAAGTTAGATTGAAAGGATTTAAGAAAGAAATGATTTCTAAAAACAGTGTAAATGATTTTTATTTTTGGAATGTTTCGAATGAAGTTTTAGGGAAAATTGAAGGAGACACATAATGAATATCTTTGGTTTCATCCTTTTGTGGCAAAGAAACGTTTTATAAATCTTTATTCCACTGGGAAGTTTTAATTAATTGTTTATATATAATGCATTAGATTTTATTAATTAATAAAATTGAATTCAATAAATTATTAATGTTGATGGAAGAATATATTTATTTAAATTATTTTTCTATTTAGTGCAATGATATTTTTTAGACACTTGTGATGATGTAATGTCATAGTCTTTACTTACTTACTTACTTACTTACTTACCCTTTTGTGGCAAAAAAGCGATTTATAAATCTTAATTCCGCTGGGAAGTATGAATAGGTTTATCTGTTGGGGATGCTTTTTGAATTTATTTGAAATTTTAAAATAAAGTTGTAGTTAATCATTTATTAATTTTGGTGGTAAGATATTTATATTTTTCCATATAGTGTTTGTAGACATGTGCAATGTGTAATGCAATGTTATGTCATAATTTTTACTTTACTTTACGCTATATATAGTGAAACTATTTTTATAGTTTCACCGCCGAGTCGGTGGGCGCGGCAACCACGATTTTTGTTAGATTGGCAAGCTGCGAAGAATTAGTGAAACAAATTTTAGTGAAACAAATTTAATTGACATCTTCAATTGATATTTAACCCTTAACTGGGTACCCAGGATATAATCTTTATAAACAAAATGGAGATTTGGCGGAATGACAGGCTTTAACGGGTGCCCAGGAAACCTTACTGGCTGGAGCCTAACTTTGAAAGTAAAAGAGATAGCGTCTTCCGGTTTTTTGCAAAATGTTCGTTTCGCAAAAATAACGTTTCCCCCCAGGGGGGAAATTGAAAACAACGTAGATTTTGAATTATCGCGAAAAGTCATATTTTAGGCCTTATAAAACTGCGTAGCTTTAACTTTGCAGATTGTTGTTCTGATCTGATTGGCTGAATCGTATCACGTGGTACGCGGTACAATTGCATTCTTGGAATATTTGAAGCGTGCAAATGCAATGAACTAGTGAGCGCGCGCGGAGTTCAACATGCTGTGAAAAGGCGAACACCCTGTAGTAATATCGCTAGCCAGTAAGGATTGCTGGGTATGAGATAGCCAAGAAGCTGCAAAGGGGGGGGGGGTTGATGGCGGGTTATGCTTTGTCAAAGTGGATGCTTTTTAAAATGAAACCGAAAGTCTTTAAACTGTGCGTTGTGTTGGTTTTATGTATAAGTATCGATTCGCATGACTTGTGACGAAATACCCAATTAGAGTTAGTACAAGCCAAACACAAGGATATCTCGTGAACAGATCATATGCACCTGTTGCAGCCAATCGCAGACCTTGGTCGCTATAATTGAGCTCTTAAGTGACATTAAGTGACCGTTGAGCCACACTTCTTGACAAATTTTGTTTAGAATAACGACCCAATCATAAGGTAAAAAGTATAGGCTGTATTTTAAGGGCTAATATCAGTCCATCTAAGTCGTAAGTTTGGAGGAATAATACGGCTAATTTTGCGATTCTTTAAAGTCTTGAACCAAAATACCCTGCTGCGCCGTCAACTGGGCCTGAGATAGCCAAGAAGCTGCAAAGGTGTAAGGGGGGGGGGTTGATGGCGAGTTATGCTTTGTCAAAGTGGATGCTTTTTAAAATGAAACCGAAAGTCTTTAAACTGCGCATTGTGTTGGTTTTATGTATAAGTATCGATTCGCATGACTTGTGACGAAATACCCAATTAGAGTTAGTACAAGCCAAACACAAGGATATCTCGTGAACAGATCATATGTACCTGTTGCAGCCGGTCGCAGACCTTGGTCGCTATAATTGAGCTTTAAGTGACATTAAGTGACCGTTGAGCCACACTTCTTGACAAATTTTGTTTAGAATAACGACCCAATCATAAGGTAAAAAGTATAGGCTGTATTTTAAGGGCTAATATCAGTCCATTTAAGTTGTAAGTTTGGAGGAATAATACGGCTAATTTTGCGATTCTTTAAAGTCTTGAACCAAAATACCCTGCTGCGCCGTCAACTGGGCCCAGGAAACCTTACTGGCTGGAGCCTAACTTTGAAAGTAAAAAAGATAGCGTCTTCCGGTTTTTTTGCAAAATGTTCGTTTCGCAAAAATAACGTTTCCCCCCCCCCCAGGGGGGAAATTGAAAACAACGTAGATTTTGAATTATCGCGAAAAGTCATATTTTAGGCCTTATAAAACTGCGTAGCTTTAACTTTGCAGATTGTTGTTCTCTGATTGGCTGAATCGTATCACGTGGTACGCGGTACAATTGCATTCTTGGAATATTTGAAGCGTGCAAATGCAATGAACTAGTGAGCGCGCGCGGAGTTCAACATGCTGTGAAAAGGCGATCACCCTGTAGTAATATCGCTAGCCAGTGAGGATTGCTGGGTGATACTCGTAAAATATTTGTTTCAAATATTAGGACCGTCGACGGCGCGTGTCCTGGTAGGTTATAAACCTAAAATACTAAAATCAGCGCTTTATAATATTATTATATATAGCTTAAAGTAAAATAAAGTAAAAATTATGACATAACATTGCATCACACATGTCTACAAAGTATCAAATCACTATATGGAAAAAATATAAATATCTTACCACCAAAATTAATAAATTATTAACTCATAACTACAACTTTATTTTAAAATTTCAAATGAATTCAAAAGAAAGCGGCGCGCACTACTTCGGAGAAATTTAGAAGAGTTTCATATTTGTCAACTTATACCGTAAAAGATTAAGCAATAAATTTGCAAGTTTGACTTGCAATATAATAATACCCACGATATTTTGTCACAGTTGATTTTTATTATCTTATTTATTATTGCTTCGAATATTTATGAATGCTATAGGTTCCCTAGAACTATCGATTTTTCGATTGTTCAGCCAAGATTAAGCTTAGAGTGAGCTAAGAACTTCATTTAGGTCTATACTAGCCCTCAGAGCTAAGTCATCCGAATAATCAAAAAATCGGTATCTTGGTTAAATGAGAAGGCATAAATCTGCCTAAAGATTATAAATCTTGTAAGGGTCCGTTTCAGTAAATTGGGGTGATCTGTGAATGATACCGTGTCGCCCAGTCTAGGTAAGGATTTTATTGGATCCATTTGGATCACTGCAAATTCTCGGTCGACTCAACCAAATGATCGCAAACATGATTGAGGGTTAAAAAAGCAAGTGCCCTATTATATCCCTACTATATCGAAAGATCAAGAATCTTCTGAGGATACACCTAAGTACATCTTCATTGTAGTGTGCTGTAAAACATAGACTACATACTATACCATATCATTTTATTAACGGTATACATTGCATTATAATGCTTTTTGAAAACTTGAAGGGTTCTATTTTATAATAACGACTAGAATACCGATCTGCAGAAATCTCTGAATTCCAAGGGAGATTAAATAAACTCTCAATTAATCGCTTCAAAGCCTAAAATTGGTTCAAAACTTACTATTAACTAATACCACCTAAAGTGCAAGTGATGATTATAACAAGTTTAAGATGCATAAGATTTCTCATTATTTCTATACTATTCTGATTAAACGATAGGCTGACCATGTCATAGTGTCATATATTGATTTGTTTGCATTTGCTGCAATAAAGCTTTTAATCGGATAATGATTTTACATGACCTCACACACTTGAACTATCTAATGGAACAAATAGACAGGATGGTGCAAGACTGGACATCAGTGCGAGATCGTTTTGGTCGCCGCTGGACAGGGCATTCACAGATGTAAGGGTACTTCACCCTCAAGCCCAGTCCAACAGTGACAAGAGCATCTCACAGATGTACCAATCTCACGAGAAAAACAAAAAACGTGAGTACAATGACAGAGTCCTAAATGTCGAAAAGGCTTCCTTCACGCCACTGGTGTTCAGTACTACAGGAGGAATGGCAACTGAGGCTTCACAGTTCCTAAAACATCTCGCTGAAAAGATCAGCCTAAAGAAAGGCCAACGGTATTGTGATGTGATGTCATTTGTCAGACGCAGACTGCGTTTTGATCTACTGAGAACCTGGGTTTTATTTTTACCTCAGTTTTTAAATTTGTACCATTTTTACAGAATTTTTATAGTTATAATTATTTTTATATAGGGTCATTGCTATATTATGTGTATATTGTTTGAATATTTTCAAAAAATTTTACACGACCTCACAAGTATATACCTTTAGAATCAAAAAATGGCTAACAAACAACCTGCGTGGATGGCATGGCCTCTCCCTCCAGGTAAATCCCCTATTTGTGTTTTTTCAATCAATAGAATTAATAAAATAGCTAGTCATTCTTAAAATTCTGCATTACAATTTTAATGAGTTGCTACATCTTAGGGAAGCTAACTAATACTGCATTCAGGTTGGGAGGCAAGGTACGACAGTGGTACTCGGAGATACTTTTTCATCAATCATCAAACCAAAGCGACTCAGTGGGTTGACCCTCGAATCGCCATCTATGAAGAACAGCAGAGAACGGTAAATATCCATAAGAAACCCTTTATGAAATCAAAGCTATCGAATATTTGCAGATCAAACCAACCTCAGTTTGTCATCTGATGTGGAATACCTGGTATATCCAATGAAACAAGAATTTGTTTTTCAATGAAATGAAAAATTCAATTTTCAGTTCATTTTACAGAGTCAACAAATTTCTAAAATTCACTAAAATATAATGCCCATTTGGTGTAACACTTTTTCTCCTTGACTTCTAATTGGATCATGGAAGGACAGGCAACTAATAGGGCAAAGAATGTGCAGGCCTGAAAGCTTTTGCACACACAGAAACGTTAATTCGGATGAGTTTTTGAAAACAAAGTTCATATTTGGACCAGATAACAATTGTTGGTGGAGACAAAGGGTTTTGTTTAGGGTTGTTATTATGGATTGCAGTCTTGTTATGCCAGAAAATCTACACTATATGCTTTAATTTATGTTGTGTAATTCAAGGGTATAAAACGAAACTTGAAAGTTGATATTATTGTAGGGCTGGTGAAATATTATGGCCTTTGTATCAATGGTTATCATATATTAATAAGTCCTTGAATTAACATTCCTCAACATTTGTAATTGACAGCTACAGAATCAAGCCCAACAAGAAGCTCAAAATCAGCTCAGAATCAGTCAGCAAAAGCACCTTGTAAGTATTAAACCGGTGGTCCCATAACAGTCTGATTAACTCTGGCCTGTCTTGTTTAAATGAGTGCTCCTCTGTGCAGCAAAAACTTGATTTCTTTATCGAGTCAACAAATAAGTCTTGCTCTAAGTCTTGCTCTAAGTCATCTCCAAAATCAATCCTGATCAATTTAGTTATGTTTTTCTGACAACAGGTCTGTTAGTTTTTCATGGACACCTGTACCTCTTCAGAAAATGTTCAATTAATTTAAATATTTGTATGGTTTTTCTTCTGTTAGCACTTTTCTTTTCTGTGCATGTTTTAATATACGTAGCCAATAGTCATGTTGTGTGTGGATCATAAGAGGAGAACCGAAATATTACCTTCTGGTAAGCTTTTCTAAGTTTGGATTCTCTGTTAAACAGCTACTCTGGATGGCTTGATCACTGCAGTGATATATTTTATTCTGATTACAAATGTTTAGAATTTTTGTTTCACAGCAACAGCAAAGACAACGAGAAGCTCAGAGAGAGGCACAGGAGCGCCAAAAACAAAGGGAATTTGTAAGGCTTTGTTTGAAATGTCTAGTGACTAGTACAGTTCAATTGAGTGCTCTTTTCTTACTGTGCCCACCATAACCAAGTTGTAACATTTATCTCATTTCAAGTGAAAAATACAATTGTTCATAAATGAATATCATCTAGTTATTCAGTTTTTATGAGTTATTTTTCATGTCACTTTTTGTCACAGTTTTTGGACAAGATTTTCAGTTTTTGATCCTATGTGCCTTCTTGTAAGTGTTCAGATAGTGAACTTTTGTGTATACTTTTTCTGCTAGTACATTTCCTGCATGTTTGTCAACATTAAATTATCACAATTCAATTTTACTGCTCACCATATTATGCTAATAAGGGTTTTTAAATTTTGTTTAGGAATCTCAAAACAATCAGGATAAGTTGTTCATAGTTTCCTATTTTATTCACATTTATATTTCATCATATAATAGAATAGTTAGCATCATTGTCTCACAGCAACAGCAACAGCAACTGGAAGCACAAGGTCAGAGAGAGGCACAGGATCAGGCTCAGCAACAGAGAGAACTTGTAAGGATTACTTGGACAGAAGATTCTGTAAAATTGTTAATCTCAAGCACCTCTCCAGTTTAGCATGCCTGTACAAATTAATCCTTTTCTACTAGTAATAACATCTGTTATTTAATCTAATATATTTCTATAGCCAACTGAAAGTGGTGAATATCGTCATTGTCCTCAAATTGATCTTAAAATTATATGATCTGTTTTAAGTTACGTTCCAAAGTCAGGCCTGTCAGCATTATTTCTTCTCTCAGCATATTTCTCCTACGTGTTCAAGCAATCACTGTGTTATATGAATCATAAGAAGCAGATTATGTGTTATATAATACTCGCATTATGAGTATCAACTAATTTCACAGCAGCAGCAACAAAAGGATCAAGCTAAAAAAGAAGCACAAAATCGCCAGCAAAGGGAACTAGTAAGGCTTTGTGAGCTGCCTCTCAATAATTAATCATCTCAATTATCAAGTTCATAGCTATTCTAAATACCATCTACATTCTTTTACGATGATGAAGTTATTTTGTAACATGTCCTCATTACAATGTTTCTTTAATCCTAATCCTTTGTGCACTGCAAGATGTGCAAGTACTCTCCACATTTTTAACAAGCTACTTTCTTTATAAGATAACTTATGATATTATGCACCATTTTTCTGATGATGTATTACATGTGATGACTGATGTATTATATATGTCATGTATAATAATGTTCTACAATGTGGCCAATGGCCACATGTCATGATCAGCTGTGTTGCTTACGACGGTTAATGTCTAAACGTGTGTGGCCTGTTGAGCCTACCAGTTCATATCACCGGCCACTGGCAATTACAAAATATTCCATTTCATCTCGGTAACTGATAATACATCTTTATTAAAAATTCAACATATGCATCGTTTTTTCCCCACGTGACCACTTGATATAAAACTCTGTTCATCATCTCATGTTCGTGTTTGCAGCAGCAGCAGCAACAAGCGCAAAGTCAAGGAGAGGCTTATGAGCGTCAGCAGAGAGAAATTGTAAGATATTGACCGTACCCTTTGATCGATAAGAAACTTAAACAATCTCTAAGTCAATGAAGCATATTTATTCTTTCTCGCTGTCTTATTTCAATGGGTTATTTGATATCTTGTCACATCTTTTCTTTGATGGGTCTTCTTTTTAAGTAGTGGACGGCTGGTTGAAATCTATATCGCGGATCGTGTCAACATTCTCATTATTCTTTTTCCGTTCATTTGTGTCTAATACTGGACGGGTTGTTCTCTTTCAATGTTTTGTGTTCTATCAACCTATCAAATATCAATGGAAAAGGTAAAAATTATTCGATTCATCACACCAGCAACAGCGAAGACAAGCCCAAGCTGAACGGGAAGCTTTAGAACGTCAACAGAAAGAACTTGTAAGAACTGAAGATTTGTTAATGTTAAAAAACCGCTTGGTGATTGGATATCGGCATTAGATTTCAATGTCACCAAAATCTTCAACTACTACGTTTTCAAATTACCAAATCGTTAATTCGAATTATCACATTCGAAAGTATTAAATGCGAGTCAGACTAGGCTTAATTAAAAATCTCATACCAACGATGATTGTTCACAGTATGAGCTAGCACAGCGGGAAGCCTATGCTCAGCAACTGGAATCTGTAAGAATTTAGTGAGAGTGCTACCAACTTTAAAATCCTTTCACATTTCACCTTTCTTTTTTACTGGGTATCAGGAACATGCTGAGTGTGTGTTTTATCTCTGATGTTCGGTCTTGTCTGAAACGTTTCAAATCATGTTTCAATGTGGCATGAAATTCGAGGAGAATCTTTTTGGGAGTATATTCTGGCTTTCAAACTGTAATTTTATTGAATGTAATGCACATTTTTAAGTAGATATTGTGATAATTTCTAATTGATCAATTTCAGATGTACACCGATAAAGAGACAGGATATGTTATAATGACAGCACTTTCACTATTTTATTAGAAAATTTACTCCTTGTCATAAGAAGTTTGTTCCAGTGATAAACAATTATTTTTCAGCAACAAAGTCAAACTCAAAGCGCGAGCGCAAGCGCTGCAGCAGATGCCGATAAAAGAGAAGACGCAGCCAGACAGGAGAGAGAGCAACAAGATGATGAGCGTCGGGAGAGGGAACGTCAAGAACGCCAGCGTCAACAACAGAGGGTCATGTTCGCTCCGTAAGAAATATCGAGACCTTTATTGATCGAACGAAGTGTTAAGTTACTCTGTAAAAACAGGCCCTGGTCGGTGCCGCTCACCCCAGCAAAATCATGGTCGACCTTTTCAGCCTACTTGAGTAATCTATACAAAGCTTCAAAAACTGACACTAAGAACTATCCAGGGTAGCGGAACCAGAACCAGAACCTGAGCCTGAAGAGGCTCAAGAGGAATACGAATTTGAAGTGGATCTAGACGATGCTGATTTTGGCCCTAGCGCTGGAGAAAAAGTTGCAGTCATTGATAGTTTCAAGGAGAAATATCCTATGCTGGATGAAAGTATCCTTAGTATGGCCCTTGAGGCTTGCTCGTGGGACACTGACATTGCTACTACTATTTTCGAGGAACAAAAAGAGGAGCATGAAAAGGTTTGGACCGTTTTTTGTAATCACTATCTTCAATGACTTCGAACATTTATCAATATTTTTGATATTATTAGGTATTTTTATTTTTGGTATGTTGTAGTTTTTTTGGTATATTTTTACCTATGATCTGAAGGAAATGTGATTTTAGGAGCAGGCGAGGAGAGCGGAGATAATGAGAAGGATGATGGGATCTGACGAGCCTGCCAGACCTGCACAACCAGTTGTGGAGGAGAACTTTAATATCTTTGACGATCAGGAAGAAGAGGCTGCAAACTCAGAAGATGTTAGTATTAGTAATATGCGAACTTATCTGTACACAAAGTGGGTAAAAATCGATAACTGCATCGTACAGTTCACTAAATTATACTATCTTGTAGGTAGATTCAGTAAACCAACTTTTTTTTGAATTTCGCACAGTTTCAGATCACTGTTTGACACCGAATTTTCATATTTTTTACAGGAAGCAGCAGCTTTGGCAGCAGCCAGAAGAGAAGAGGACGAACGCAGAAACGCAGAGAGAAATAGAGCCAGAGAAGAAAGAAGGCAGCGCAGACTAGAAGAGCAGGAACGAAAGAAGGCTGCACGTTCCTCTACTCCTAAGGAGCGCACTCGCACTGAGCGACCAGCAGCTACTCGACCAAAACAGGAACGAGCCCCTAGTGATCAGCCTGCCTATGTCTCTAAGAATGCAGTTGGTCGAGACCCTTCACTTGCTATAGGACGTGACCCAAGAATGGTTGGCGCAAAATCAAATTTGGCTCTTGGTAGAGACAGCTCCTTAGCCAAAGGTTGGTTTAATGTTTTGAATACTATGTTATGTACTGTAAAGCTACGAACTGTAGATATGATTTTACTCTATTTACAAACTGTAATTTTCCCGGAAATTAACTAAATTTGATGAGCACATAAAACATTGATAAGTTTCTATCCAAGAATTAATAAAACTTGTGGTTCAGGATCCGACGGCACATACTCGAGCGGGAGCGACTGTTCTCTGGCTGTTGGAAGAGACCCATCTATGGTCGGGCATAGAGTTAACTTGGCACAGGGCCGAGATTCCTCTATAGCACTCGGCAGAAACCCTAAGCTCGTTGGGTGCAATTGATGCCTCGTCGAGACGTGATAGAAATGTATCATGATCAGTCTTTATTGCTTGAAGTTGAACTGACAATCTTGGGATTTGTCCTTTGAAAGACTTTGTCCTTATATTGTATTTACAAGTATTGTTAGAAATTAGAACAGTGTACATTCTGCATGTATTATTATGATAACTTTGTTATCCTTAATCAGCACAGACCTACTAAATATTGTACTGTATTATGATAGAATTTGTCAACTAAAGAATATGATCATTGGTATTATATCGATGATTTAGATTTATTTAGATTTATTTAGAATTATAATTTTAAGTTTCTTGTGAAATGTGAACTCGACTTATTAATATAGTAAGCATAAACAAAAAATATGCATGCTTCAAGTCTTGAAAAAAACCATCCCGGAAGAATAAGGAAATGTTCAATTTAGGTATTAACTCGAGCAAGTAGATTTTTAGCGCCATCTTTTTGAAATAGTTTGGTCCGATATTTTAGATGCAAATCTATAGTACTATTAAATTGAATACAAATGTACAGTGTAAACTCAAGTTTTAAAATTTGTTGATAATATTGATGTATACGCTTTTGTTTTTACTTTGAACTAATGTTGTCAGGGATTTTGCCGAACTGAGCACTTTCTACTCATTTTGTGTTTTCTGTTATCATTTTTTTTTCGAGTGAGAGTTTGAATATGTATTCCTCACCTGACAAACCTACAGTATATTTGAAATGTGTAGATATAATACATTTAAACGATTTTAGATAGCTTATCAGTCTACAGTTATACAATTATGTTCTAGTATATGAAATTGTTGTCGTGATAAGAATTTTCCCTGGTCTACAATCTTGTGTTTTCTTGTGCACCTTCAAACTGTGATAAAATGACCCATGGCCATGTATCATGATTCATGACGTACGCGTACGGTCGCGGTAGTTGGTTAAGACTTAAGAGTTGACTGAATGATAAATTCCCAATTTAAATTTCTTACATTACATCTGACCATTAATTTACACTTTTATTCTCCATGGCGCATTTATTACGTAAACAAATGTCACGACATCGATATTCTTCTTCTGTCACAGTCAAACTGGGCACTAATAAGATCGCTTAATTCAGGGTCTCACTGTAATGGAGGAGAAGGTATTAAACTTGCACGTGTCATGTGAGGTGAGGTACACTCTGCAACCTGTAGACGATCAACTTGACCTGCAGAGTTTCCTGTCTGATTTTCATAACAACTTGGAAATAGTTGATCTCTTGGAGGCGGGAGACAGTGTTCGTACTAGTAAATACGAACTGACCCCTTCAGAGGATAATCTGATCGGTATAGCTAGATTGGGTACAGTGAACCATACTTCTTTTTATTTGTCTAGTAAAACTATGAGATCGATCTCAGAAACTTTATCCCACTATGATCTTAAGGAGAGGTATGTGAAGGTCGGGATCGAGTATGAAAATGCAAATGTTTCTGACACTTCTTCTGGAAATTCAAACTTTCAATCCAATGAAACTTTTATAGCGCCTGAATGTAACACCATTGATGAAATGCAAGCCTTGGCAGACAATTTCGATAGCTTTGGTGATGGAGCTGTAGGTTTACCATACTAGTACAGATAGTGAGGTGGAAATTCAAAGTGACCGTCCGACTGTGGCAACGACTGGGACAAATGGTTCGCTCTCAGATGCTTCAACAGGCAAACTAGATTGGGAAGACTATTCATCTGCTTTTGTTCAACAAGATGATCACGTTATTGGTTCTGACGAAGATTTTCTTGACTCAATTAGACAGTCTGACGATGATTTACCGCCAAAAGAAGGGAATGTCGTTGTAGATCTTAGGGAACTTCTGCGGAATAAGGGTTCCAATCCTGTATACTATCCTGAGACCCACAAGAATCTTACTAATGAAACTTATTCTAATACAGTTTCATTTGAAATAGGCTCTGAGGTTCGCAGTTATGAAAGTTGTACACGGTTTGCTAGGAAGAAAGATGCCAAAAACAACGTCGCATATCAGGCATGGAAAGCCCTACAAAGTTTGTCCAGTTCAAATTCCTGCTCAGATGACAATGACTTACCTCTAAAATCTATGAACTACATTGGTCTTCTAAACCAGCATTTACAGATAAAGCATACTCTTCATTCACTAAAATATGATTACTATGAACATCCCGGTCCATTGTTTACTGCCACCCTTACGTTTCAAGGAATGATCCAGCCGTTTAAAACTTCGAAAGGGTTTCCCAATAAAACAGATGCCAAGAGGAGCGTCTTTTATAAGGCTTGTAGGAGTATCGGTTTATGTAAGTGATTCGTTAGATCTTTACTGATGAAAATCTTAAAATTTATATTTTTGTTAAACGTGAATGATTTCCGGTAATCTTTATTAAAATTCTGTCCCTAATTTATTCCAAAATGTTATTCTTTTAAGTAATTTCAATTATTATTTTTTGACAATTTCTCCTCACGCACCGTGTCGTGGAATTACGAATATTGTAAGATCAGTTTAAAAAAATGTCAGCTTGTCTTACCAGATTCTGATAATACAATTATTTACTTTTTAATTTGGTTTTAGAAATGATGAAGTACCAGTGCTCACTCACAGTAGCTTTGGTGAAAAATGGAAATTTAAGATGTCAAGAGTATAAATGATGTAACGTATAATTATAAAATGTATCACTAAAAGTGCTGCTTTACACTCTAGTAAATATCGGTGAAATCAAATTATGCACTCCTAGGATACCGATGTGATGAAGAAATCCTTCCTAAGTTTACATGTGTCATGTAAGCTAGAGTACACTCTAGAACCAGCTGACGAATACGAGACTTACTTTGATCTCCAGGACTTCCTCTCAGACCTTAATGAGAACCCTGAAATGATAGAGCTCCTGGAGGATGGAGAATGTGTTAACACCCGTAAATATGACCTTACTCCTAACGAAAACAATTTAATAGAAATCACGAAATCAGGGACGGTCTCTGAAATCCCTTTTTGTTTGTCTTTGGACGACTTGAAATCCGTATCAGACACCTTGTCTCTCTACGATCTAACAAAGAGGTCTCTTGAGATTGGTGTCGAGTTTACGAAACCAGAAATTATTGGTGATCGTAAAACATTTTCATATGAAAGGACAAATTCTGGCTTTATTGGGCATGCTTATCAAAGCTTAGAACTGTTCGATGATGAGCAGATGCCATCTAGTTTGGGTGGTGCAATCTTTTCTTTAGTCAGTTACAATAACTACAATAGATTAAAAGATCGCCAGTCAAGTTTTAACGAGGTCTTGCTCCCTCAATCAGAACCAGTTGCACCGTCCCAAGAAATTAGCGATTACTCAAATTGTGAGCCAAGCGAAATAAGGGCATCATCTGGAAATGTGATAGATGATCAGTTAAACTTGGATGATATAAATTTACATATCTCTAACATGCATTCAAACTCTTCCGCATCTACATCAAACATCTCAGCTGAATTATTCAAGGAACCGCTGATGTTTCAGTCTCTTGCTAACAGCTCCTCCATCGGTGATCCTGATCTTGTTTGTGACACAATCCCTTTTCCAGTGACAACATCATCTAATATCCCGACGACATCACCTTTATCCGCTACTCTTGATGTAAACACACGCCCTAATACCAATCCTGTTGCTACGGCAGGAGGAAGTACTGACACCAGCTCCGGTACTGATCATAATCGCAGTGATGAACTTCCTCCATGGGGCTTGGAGGTTATTGGGGATCTCGCAAACTATTTACGGAAGAAGGGAGCTTTTCCGTCGATCAGATATCATCCAGTCGAGCACACAGATGTTAACAATCGACCTGTTTTCTCTGACACTGTTACATTTCAGATAGATTCTTGTGAGTATAAATTCCCCGAATCTCCGGGATCCACTCGTTTCATTAAAAAGTCGGATGCTAAAAAGAACGTTGCATATCAAGCATGTAAAGCCCTGAATGTGTATGATGATGGAAATAAGGACGATGAAATTGAATCAGATGTACCTAATCTTATGGGGGCATCGCCTGATAAAAATCAAAGTGAACTACCTTCTCAAGCATTAAATGTTGACGAAAATTTACAAAGTTTAGATGCGGTAGACCCCCAAAATCTCGATCTTGGACATGAAGTGTTACCTTCCAACCCAGATGACAGTGGTCTTCCTCCTGAGGGTTCAAATGTTGTTGGAAAGCTCAACGAACATTTACAATCTTTACATGCGCTGCACACTCTAAAATGGTCAAATGAAATTGGTATAGAATATTTTTCAGTATCTTTATCGTTTATGATCAACCAAACTGAATACAGTTTTAGATCTTCAAAAGAGTTTTTTAATAAAAAAGATGCTAAGAGAAGCGCGTTTTATAATGCTTGTAAAGATTTAGGGTTGTACAAAAGTTAGATTGACTGATATGTTGTTGAATGTCCACAGTTTTTATTTGCTTATTTAATAAACAAAAATTGGTTACTCATGTGCATACTTATTGTTTTGGTAATAGTGTTTCATTTAGGTTTAATTTTGCATGGTATTTTAAATGATATGTACTAATCCACTGTAAGTTCCGTTTTTCTTTGATTTAATTGGTGACTCATAGATTTGGATTCTGGTTGGGAGGTGGTGCATATTTTCTGGTACATGACAGCAATAAACCAATAAGCCTATGAGTATTGCTGAAAGCACAGTGTAAGGCCTACACGGACCGCCTCTAACTAGTCAATCCCTGTTTACATGCCGTGTAGCAGGGGACTAGAAAGAGCTAAACTAGTAAGCGGGGCATAGCCAATACACTATACTTCCATCATTGAGTATATTACCAACCAGAAGGAAAATTTCCTTGTGTTTGGAATCTACCAAGACGAAAGTTGTACAATCCAGCGAAATTCCGAAGAATCATTCCAGTAGACTAGGCGCATTGCAACCACAGCCACGGAAATACTTATGAGTATTGCTGAAAGCACAGTGTAAGGCCTACACGGACCGCCTCTAACTAGTCAATCCCTGTTTACATGCCGTGTATAATCCGCTTTTACGATTGACCTATAAAACCCTTACCCCAGAATCAATGTTACGACATCACGTGTAAAAAATATGCTTCACCTCCCCATCAGAATCCACATAATATAACTGAATTTTCAATGGAGTTTCAGTATGGATAGATAACAGATGTGACATTATATTATGTTGATGCCGCTTCTAACAGATCAACAATTGTGTTCCCATTGTTGCTGGCTGTTAAAATTTCAAAATGAATTAAAGACACTCAATTGATTGTAAACTTTTAAAAATATTTTGTTGATGTTAACTGGTCATTCCAGCTCAATACTACGATAGGGGGGGTACCAATGGCATAAATGGCATAATGGAGAATTGGCCAAACAAAATTTCCATTTATGCCATGAAATTTCTATGCCATTTGATGAATTTTATGCCATTTTTCTCCATTCTATGCCATTCGAAATATGAAATTTTAAAACTTTGAACTGAGAATTTAATTTAACGAATTGTCTGCACCCCACTAGTACTGTCCACCTTTATCTCTATTTATTGTACTACACCATCTATTTTCACCCATTAAATTCCTCAAAATATCCCTAGCAATGGGCATTATTGATTATAATTACGTTCAATGTATATCAATATGATATGATGATTTGGTTGATTGTGGACAAGTGACCGAGCAGTATGGCATAGTACACGCTACACACCGTATAACAGAGAGGACAGTCGACTGAATGCTCCCAGTCAATCGGATATCCAAATTAACAGTGGAAAACTGTAACATTACCAACTCGATTAAAATATTATTTGTTAATGATGTGTACAGATGTATCGTGTCGGGACCGTGTTCATATAGAATGTTTTGAAATTTAAACATATTCACAAGATTGATAATGATCTGTGTTTCGAATGGGTAGCCTCTTAAAAATAATATTCATTGATATCTCGATGAACCTGTATATTAGTATTACATAGCAGTTCACCAAATGACCTGAAATACTTGCTTCCTATTATACAAAATTATGATGACATAATATTTTGCTTAAATATCTTCATATTCACTGCTGCATGGCAACATAGCACTCCTTAATTAGTTTTCTATAATAACGTTAATCTAGTATAATCATTGTAGGCTTTTGAACATCTCACAATTTGGGCTGTAGGACTGTAGAGCGGGGGACTGTATGACGTACTTGCATTGGTCAAAAGTAGGACCCAAGAGCGGAGTCAAATCGCCAGGGTAGGAATCTAGAGCGGAACCCCCTTACCGGAACCATACTATAAGGACCCTAGAGTGGAGTCAAATCGCCAGGATAGGACTCTAGAGCGGAACTCCCTTACCGAAACCATACTATGAGGACTCTAGAGCGGTACCCACATGTAAATTTTGGACCGGTTAGAAATTTGAGATCGGACTGTAGAGTGGACTTGGTCGGAAGATTGAAATCAGATTAGATGCAACTCGTGATTGATTATTATAATAGTGAGATTAGAATAATTCATGGAGTTGTTGAAGCAGAAAATTGTCCTAGATTATTTATATTATACATCATATCATATTGTAATTTTTAGATACGTTAGACAATTGTTCGGTATAAACTTCTTCCATTTGACTGAAATATCCTGATGCTACTCTAAAATGCAAAAAGATTCTTTGATAAAGAGGTATAATTATGAACTGGTCGATGTGATTTCGCTAAGCGAAATACCGACCAAGTACGTGCATGTGCACTCAAGCAGATCATTTAGGAATGAGGATCTCATCGCGTGACACTTTAGCACCTACTAAGGGTATCTCATGTTCAGTCTAGTGACAGGGTATGTTCCAGATCAGATCCCATCGCATAGCGGTTCTTGTTAGTGATTTCGATAGTGCAGTATAAATGTCACAGAGAATTTAGTTTAGTATATCACATTCGATTCCTACTCCTCTTTACAACTATCTACAATATGCTGAGTAACAAGGCCGTCTTCATCCGGGGACAAACAGCTGAGATGGGTACGGGAGAACGGACTGAAGAAGGACTACGACGAAGGAATTAACGACCCCCTTACCAATTCCTGGACTTCAGGTCCTGTTCGAGTGTGGATACGTAGACTTATGCACTATGCAGCTTGCCTTTCTCCCAGTGGACGATGTTCTCCCTTCTTTCATGGAGCTCCTAGATCTTATACCCTCCCACCTTGGCCTCGACGACTTCCTTAACTACTTCATAAACCTGCCCGCTTTCCTCCGCAATCCTGGAACCTCGTCGACCGGACTACCTGCAACTTCAACTACGCAGAGGCCTTCAACAGAAAGTTTGCAGCAATGTTGGGACACTCTTACCCAACTATCTGGACCTTTCTTCAAGCCGTCTACATAGAACAGTCCGCTACAGATGAGATGATGCTCAAGGAGAGTTACGGGGATGCTCCTCCTGCAAAACGTGCCCGTCAGCGTACCAAGGACAGCCGACTGGCACATTTAGTAAAAGTCTACGACGATCATGACATTGTCTCACTCTCCCACCTTGACATGTTGAGGAACGTGATGGTCGAGGAACTGAGTGAACTATTCTAAGATATTTGATTCGCAGTATTAATGTATAATAAGTTGTATCAATTCTATCATCATTATGTGACGACTATTATTAATCATTGATTAAAAAACATAGCTCAATCTTCAAAACTTTACTCTCAAATTTCTAACCGCTCTAAAATTTGCATGTGGGTACCGCTCTAGAGTCTTCATAGTATGGGTCCGGTAAGGGAGTTCCGCTCTAGAATCCTACCTTGGCGATTTGACTCCGCTCTAGGGTCCTCATAGTATGGGTCCGGTAAGGGGGTTCCGCTCTAGAGTCCTACCCTGGCGATTTGACTCCGCTCTAGGGTCCTACTTTCGAATTTGCTTTTCTTGAATAGTCAAATGTTTGGTATATTATTATTAAGAAACTGTTTACACCATTGAAATATTCAAAACCCCTAAAAGAAATCAAGTCATCCTAAAATGGTGATCAGTACAGATCAAGACAGCTAGAGTGACAATTTGATTCTCCAAGCAACTCTATCATCGGCTAATATCTTAAGCTTATTAAGATCATTCAAAGAGTTAAGTTTTAAACCTCTACGGGTCAAATCATTCACAATAATCTTGAACAAATTCTTACGATGCGCACCGACGCGCCCTTTACAGTTTGTTGTGACAGCAAACTTTAACGCTAATGCAGCGGGGGAGTCATCAGCACTACGCAAGATATGACCTAGGAGCTTCCACCTTGCTTTAGGGACACGATCTGATAGCTTTACTGAGTTACATCTTAGGTATAAGTTTGCATTGGATATTGTTCCATGAGGCCAATAAATGTTCAGTAATGATCTAAGGTGTTTTCTATGGCAAATGTCTAGTTTTTCTAGTGACTTTGCAGTAGGACACCAACTACTGCAATTGTACATGATGATTGATACAATTTGGGCTTCGTATACTGCTATCTTTCTGGTAACGGAGATATTCTGCTGAGACCAGATCTTGGTGAACTTATAGAAGGCATTGTTCCCAGCAATGCATCGAGCAGCTATATCACTTTCACTACACAACAATGACCCGAGAATCTTACTCTTCCGCCAATCTTCATTTCCACGTAACATGGTATCATCACGACCAGGGATTGTTTCCCCAACAGGAGCGAGGAAAACATGGGTAAATTCTGTTTTCTCTGTGTTAATGAACAGGTTAAACTCCTTGAAGACTTCCTTAGCTATTGGTAGGATAGCTTCTAAGGATTCTTTTTCCACGTTCATGAAGTTACAATCATCTGAATACGCTGACTCCAGTGGCATACCTTCATTTGAAATAGGGGGATTGGGTATGTGTGGGGGAGACTCTGCAAGTCGATGGCGTAGTTCTATAAGAGCTCCTGCCAGGACAAGAGTGAAAAGCTTGCCGGAGAGACTGTCGCCTTGAAAGGACCCAAGAAGACTCTCGAATACAGCAGATAGTTCTCCTTCCACTCTGACCTTGAGCATGGTGTTGGTTAAGAGGAGTCTTACTAGTCTGAGGTCGTCGTCTGTGCATCCAGCTTTGACAAGAAGGTTGAGTATTGTCTGGCGTTTGATTGTGTCAAATGCTCGAGACATATCTATGCCCATCTTGTGATACTGGAAGTGTTTACGCGTGACAACTGATATCAACATCCGCTCAGCCCACACTAGATCACCACAACTTCTACCATGTTTGTACCCCGCCTGCGTGCTACCAGTGAAAGCATCAACTTTGTCTTCAATTCTCTTCAGTACAATCATGGATAATATCTTACGAGCACCATTTGATAGACATAGAGGTCGTAGACTAGTGACAGGACCAGCTGGTTTGCGAGGTTTCGGTAAGGGTATATGTTTGATATAATACATTTCTATTTTCTTTATTTGTCATATGAATCTTTAAAGATCATTCCAAGCGTTATAAAACATGAAACATGTCTCTTATTCAAGTACTAATAATATTTGCGAATTTAAAATCATCCTAAAGGTCAAATACGAAGAGCTAAATTCATGGCATAAATTGGCATAAATGGAGAATTGGCCAAACAAAATTTCCATTTATGCCATGAAATTTCTATGCCATTTGATGAATTTTATGCCATTTTTCTCCATTCTATGCCATTGGTACCCCCCCCCCCCCTACGATAGTATACGTACAGATTCGAAATCAGTGCCGTATACCTGTTGTTGAATTACTTTAAAAAGACTAATTTAACTGATTTCACTTCTCCTTTGCTAGAATTTCTATAACAACATTTTCAGATAAAGCACAGTAAGATATCATGTCTATGACAACATCCTTAGACCCTTCTGAAGTTACTATGCCAACATCCTTAGACCCTTCTGAAGTTACCATGACAACTTCATCAGACCCTTCTGAAGTCAATACAGGTGAGAATAATTTCTTATTTCTTTCAATTCTGTTAATTCTCAGCATATATTTTAAAAGAAATATCATTGCTGCAATGCCCCCCCCCCCCCCCCCCCCATGATGACATGTCCCCCATTATTACAAGGCAGTGATGACGAGGACGAGGTGTTGCATCAGCTAGATGTCTACATCAGCAGATCACTGGGAAAGTTACTTCTTGCACAGTACCCGCTACGTCCCACGTACAAACCATATCAGAATGCGTCACGAGAGAGTGTGCGCATGCGCCCTGTGCAGTGTGAACTTGAGGTGGACATGAAGATTCAGAGTAATCCTAACAAACCTGCCCAGGTAGACTTAACATGTTCAGCTTGAGTGTCACAATATCTTCTTATTTATCTACGCTTATCTCAACTGAATGCTAAACTTTTCCAAGTTCTTATATATATCCAAAGTTGACTCTGATATTAACAGTTCACAATAACCTCCACCAGATCCAGAAACTGACGGTATCCCAGCGCCCCATGTTGAAGCCACACAGCGCTATAGGTCTGGTCCGTGGTAACGAGCTGCATCTCACCCCACTGGACAGCATCGTGCAGCTTACTCCTTCCTTCGACCACATCGACAAACGGTAAACTTTGTCTTGATTGTGAAGGAATTTAAGGGTTGTTGTTTGGGTAATATTTCCGTTATGAACATTGTTTTATAGCCACGGTTGTAGGTCGAGGAGTCTTCTTTCCTGCAGTTCATTCTATTTAAATTTACAGTAGAGAGTTTCTAAAGTCTCAAGCAAAAATAATTGTATTGATAGTTTTTCCTACTATCCATCACGCTAAAATATGGTTTGTTAGTGTAGCAGAAGATGCAAAGCTCAATGAAGTTGATCCGCCCGAAGCTTCCTCGACACAATCCATCACTCGCAAGTTCACTAAAGTTGAATCTGACAGAGATAAGGCTATCAGACTATCTTCCTTTCAAAATATACAGGTATTTCAAACTTTCAATTATCAACGGCACCTCCAATTTAACTGGAGATTTTAGTTTTTACGTCAAATGATTAAGGATTATTAAATTAGACTGTCAGAACGAAATATTTTCATCTTTTTTGTACGTTTGCGCTATAATACAGCTTCTTACAAATATTGTATACTAAGTATTACACTAAAGATAGCCATATTTAGGCTTGTGATCGCTGAATAATATTGTGTAATGATAGAATTACACTTCGTCCTTTGATCACATTGAGATTTTTGTACATTTTGAAAATGTACCACAACGTACCACTCTTGCAGCAAGAGCGCCAGAGTGAGTCGTGGGTACCTTGTGATTACAGAGCTCCAGAACACCCCTACGCAGCTGGACAGAAACGGGCGATGCTCAACAAAAAGGGTCAGTACGGTACTGGCAGTACCACTTAATTAGCTAAATGGTTTTATACTATTATTGGTAGTTTAGAGAGCGCTGCAGTATGTGGTTTGCTCAAGAATATACATATTTACTATACAATATACATATTATATATTATATTTGATATATGTTTATATACATGTTTATATATAAACATTAAACATATATTATATTTGATATTGTACTTAGCGCTGTTCGTCTGATTCAGATAGTCAGATACTGTATACTTGCTTCACTTTTAGTTGTGTTTGTAATCTTCATTTCCTCTCGACCACAGAAAAGAAAGGGATATCAGGGATGGAAGTAAGCAAATCAAAGTACCTGGACATGTTTTTACCGGAGATTTCGTCTGAAGATTTCTCTGACAATAACAAATACGGACTCCGGGACCTCCCTAAACTTTCTACCGCTAAACAGGTTTGGTAATATATTTCTCCTCGGCATAATTCGTGTTTTTAGGACCAGTAAAAGTTTTGAATTTTGTAACTCATAATTTTACAGTGCACTTTTAGTTCGTAACGTTATGTAACATACCGGTATGTAACATACCGTATGTTAGTAATCATCACATATAACAACTTAACAATGAGTCTAGCCCCGACGCGATGAGGGCTAAAGTGGGAGGTTAAACGCTCAACTCTAAAATTAGCTCTACAGTCTACATCGGTAATATTATAATTAAATAACATTCATAATGTTACCCCGAGGGTCTTTCAGGTGGAGTCTCTGATGAGAAACGCTCAAGTATTGAGATTTGCAGAAATCTGTCAGATCTTACCATCGATACCCAAGTCAGACATTCTAACGGAGCTACAAAGCTCAGCTCATCTTGTTCAGGTGACAACTCTCGTGCTTTTGTTAATTACCATTCGCATTATTGAAATTTCTTTTAGTAATTTAAGTCAAGTTGAACTCGAGTCCATAATTTCAGTGACAATAGTTTCGATTTTTCCTTGAGATTGTGCGTTAAGGTGCGGCAACGTGTTTACTTTGAAACAAGCCACATTGAGAGCTTATAATATATCTGCAGAACTTGTGACTGAACCAATCTAATATCCTTAGACTGAGGTCACGTGACAATACAGCATCTTTAGTTGCATATAAAGTGATCTATCCCACATCATGTAGTGCACAAAGTTGAACATTTTCGACAGCTTTACCAATTTGAACCGCTGTTGTAGAACAAACGTGAGACCGTTTTGTCAAATTATACTAAATCAGAGCTCTCTTTTATGTTAAAACTTAAACCTTATCCAGGGAAGTTGGGTGATTTCCTCCAAAATGTTGTACCCAAAAGGAAGTAGATCAGATCAAACGGGAGTACCAGCCGAGCTTATGGTACGACATCGCAACTTTATACTGTGCTGCTTTGTGCAAAACCCCCTGTTAAAAAGGAAACACCTGCAAACCATCTGCATCAGCAAGATTCACCCCTCAGAAATAGAAGAGATACTGAAACAGGTTACGTCATCCTACGCCCTCGATATATTTTAATGTAGAACTGGTTTTATATTTCATTTCGTGCTCTCTACTAGTAACCTGGTGTGATTCCTATTAAGTGTGTTAGTTGTAGTGAACTAGCATAGCTAAAGAAATTACACTACGGGAGATTATGCACATTGCACATGTTAGGAGAAATCTGAAACTATTTAGGAAGATTACTGTCGACGCGGCGGTTTAATTGCTAAATGTCATGAATATTCACGTCTTGTGATTTATTATGTGGATAAAGTTGTACTACTTATATTTTGCATAATATGTATAATTTATACATTTCGTTCACCAGTACAGTTATAGTGGCCACTACTTACTGTGGCTTTGTCAAAAATGAAAATCCAAGAATTCATGTACTTGTTTTGGTATAATACTGTTCGAGCGCTTTCTAACATTGTGGACATTGTAAAGATAATATCTTACTAGAGACTTCTTATCGTTCTAGTAAACACTAATCATACACTTAATTTAATTACTTTTATTAATTATTATTACTTAATCATTGATTATAATCACATAATTAACTTCCCATTTCCATCAGATCTCAACGTTTGTTCCCCTCGATGGATGGACCTTTAAGAAGCCTCCCTCCACCCAGTTCGCCCAACAGTATCCAGATATTGATCAGTCCCAGAAGACAATATGGTCGGAGATCTATGATGATATCTACACTACACTACACGTAAGTTGTTGGTTACATTGTTACAGTTTTATCCGGTTATCCAGCATTGTGTTACGTGTGGGCAAAACGACTCTGTACCAAGGATATTCGACAAACTGCTTAACGTTTAAAAGTAGCACAATTGAGACAATAAAATTATATAAAATTATATGAAATTATATGAAATTATCTTGTCCTGTTCAGTTGAAGGCACATCGAAACAACCCACTTGTGGAGAAGAGAATTGAGAAACAGCCAGTGAACAAGGAGCTGACAAGTATAAACGTAGAGACAGCAACACATATAATCAGGAGGCTACAGTTAGACGAGATCGTGGAACCCTTCCATTTAGTCGAGCTCAGCAACGAGTTCAGGGTTTGTTCCTCCTATTTCGTTTCTCAGCTGTGTTTGTTAAGTGTATGATATTTGATATCCCTGTACGCTGGTTTGGGTTAGTATAGGTACCTCTGTTTTTAATTTGTGTCATTTAGCCAAAAATGTGGATAGGACTGTGATACTGTAGGCTGTAATACTAAATAGGCTGTATAACTTATTTCCCTGTTGAAATATCACTGTAACCATGTTGAAATGTTGAAATATGACTGTAACCATGTTGAAATGTTGAAATATCCCTATAACCTCCCCCTCTCCTGACAGGAACTGATAGGACCGTCAGCAGTGGTTGTTGAGATTGTGGAGAATAGCATGTGTCGTTATATCCCCCCTGAACACTGCAAACAGGTGCTTAACGAGATGTGCCGTGCTCTGAGACTGTGTTATGTCAACGTTCTTACCCAGGTCAGGACATTAAGAAGGGGGCCAGGGGGGTCTTTGTTGTTATAACAGAGCTGTATCAAATGATGGAGTAGTTCGCTGTTTATTAGTCTCGTGATTGAATTATACTGATAGTTGGATAATATCCGGTTGGAAGAGACAAGGACAAATGAAACATGAAGTTAGGAATGTAGGCAAATTTTCGGCGTCAACGCCATCTTCAGGCTAAAATTATTTGTTATATAGTAGTGTTGAAAGTATTTCTGTTTCATTTGTCCTTGTCTTTTCCAACCGGATATTATCCAACTATTAGTATAACAAAGCTGATTTAAATATAAGCATTGTTTGTTGCACGGTTCGTATATATTTTCAATCTGAAGACCAGTGAGGATTTTTGGTGGATTAATTGTCTAGATTGAAAATTTGTGAAAGTGAAATAACATGGAAGCTATGTTTAAAAAATAAATCACCCTTAGGAAGGAGAAAGAGAACAAGCTTTGGGGTACGAAAAAATCGGGAACGTATCCGACAAGTACCGTCAAGTTATCTTCTCGCTGTTCGAATCCCGGTATCAGATATCCAAATCCGAGCTGCGTGACGCGATCCACCAACAACTACAAACAACGCTAACGAGTAAGGAGTACCATGGTATTACCAGTGTGCTGTGTGACAGCCCTACAACATACAAATCAGGACATTGGGTGTTACGGGTTAAAAGGAACGCTGAGTAATGCCATATCAGATTTCATTTTGTGGGGTCGATTCTCAATTTTCGGTTTTGTTCCTTTTTGTTCGCCAATGAGATTTTTACTAATTTATTTCTCACCCTCAGCTTGGTTAGCAGTGTGGTTTTTTATTTATTGATAACGGTTTAATTTCATCAAAGAGGTTTTTATTATTTAAATTACAGACTTTTCTTCCTTACCGAAGTCCAACGGTCGTTTTATTTTCTGACTCATGACTCATGACTTATCAGTGAGAAGAACTGAAATGTATTATGTTACCCGGTACCCCTGATACCCTAGTTACACATAACAATATTCTAAAGTAATTTTCTTTCACTTCCGTATGTGTCGATTTGTTGCTGTCTGTATTTGTGTGCAGTTTACTATTTTAATAAACCAACTCTTGTTGATGACGTAGTAATACATTTTAACTACAGTGTAAACACCGTTAAATTACACTCTACATACATTGTCATTACAGTTTACATGCAAAATTACGTAACTTTTAACACTTACTTCAGTGAGTTGTGATCATTGTTAAAGATAGGAGCAAGTTTTTAAAATGACTGGAATTTAGGAATCAGCCATCTTTTCCAACATGGTACACTTCAATGAAAATGTGTAATTTCCAGTTTTATTTAACGATGACACAATGGTCTGTGGATTTATTTCCCGACCATTAATTAGCCATTTCCTTTTCGATATTTTAATGACAAGGCATTTTGTGTGCTATTTTGTTTATCCTGCCACCCAGCCTCTTTTAAATTCCAATGAAATTTGACTAACGTAATGTAATATAATATCTTTAAATGTAACTTGATGATCTTTGTACATTCGCATTTAAATATTTGCTACCCATTTTTCCGAACATTCGATCTTTAGTCTATTCTAACTTCACTATTTTATTAGCATAGTAGTCGAGATGGCAGCGACTAGAAGGCTCAAAAAGGTAAGATAACACAATTTGTATTACACCGTTTATGCTATTCTTACTGATTGTAGCCAAATCAAAAATGTAAGCTTTGAGAATCGTGTCCTGGATATGTGATGCCCTAGCGCACATCAAGATAACAACTATTAACTATTTCAGGAGCTTGTTGATATCAAAAAACAGAACCATGCCTTTATTGATAACATAGAGGCGAAGGACGATAACATATTGAAGTGGAAGGGACTTATCAAGCCACTAATGTCACCATATGACGAGGGTGCTTTCAAGATCGAACTGACATTCCCCACAGAATATCCTTTCAAACCCCCAATACTGACCTTCCAGACACCTATCTATCATCCTAATGTTGACGAGAAGGGTCAAGTGTGCCTCCCTATCATTAACGCAGCGAATTGGAAACCAGCAACCAAGACTGAACAGGGTTAGTAAAACCGGTACAGAGTCTGAGTTTGTGTTTCTGTAGCGCGCATTGAAGGATTCATGTGGCACAAAAAGGCAGTCATGTCGTATTCTGCGCGGCTTTGAAAATAAAATTAATCGGAATGTCGGAACTAGACCTAAATCGGGAATCTGTCGATGATTAATAATCATTAGATAGATATTATTTGTTATTGTCACATCTTATCCCAACAATCTTATTTCCTGTTTTTATTGTGAAGTTTATCCTTACATTTACCTAAATATAATCTAATTTTCAGTGATACAAGCTCTAGTCGCTCTCATTCATGAACCCGAACCTGAACATCCCCTGCGATCCGAACTAGCCAAAGAATTCATGGAAGACAAGGCAAAGTTTATAAAGAACGCTAAAGATTTCACTAGCAAATTCGCCGAAAGCAGAAATTAGCCGAAAATTTCACAATTTCTCAGTTTTTATTTCTGGTTATGTATGAATGTTCGCTTTCAAAAATTTTGGCCGATGTATGTGATCAAAGCGAGGATAGGTGGGTCAGGGTTTTTAATTAGTAAGTATGATCCAAAGGATCGGTTTAAGAAGACTCCAAAACGTTTCAGTTTCTTGTTAATTGGTTGACCAATGTTTCACAATCTGGATGTAGTATTTTTATGGACCACAAATTCAAATCACTTTGGTGGAACATTGTAAGTGTCAATTGTGTTTGCTCTATAATCTTATTCATTTCAAATATATCCTGTTTTCTTCTCTACTACTGAATTCATTGTATTGGTCTACTTATTAGTCTAGACGTCATTTACTGGAATACGAATACAATACAGCTTTAACTACAAAGTGAAAAAATTATTCATCCTTAAATAACGTTCCCTTCTGCGAAGGAAGGAGGTTTTTAAAAAGTGTGATCTCTGTAAATAAACTGAAAAACCAATGATGAACTCCTCTGATGCGTAGTTGAAAGTAAGGGGTCGTTCACATATTACGTTATGACAGAGGGGGATGGAGGGGGTTTCTAAATAATGACGTGCAATTTTAACACAATGGCTATATTTTGTAAACGTGATTACGGCGAGGGGTTAAAATTGGCCAACAAATGATTACGTAATAATATGTGAATGACCCCTAAGTAGACTGCACGGAGCCGTGAAAAATGTGATCGACATCTATATCTACATTCTGTATCTCGATCAATCCTTGATATGGGCTTGCTGGATTCCTTTAAAAATGATTATAATTCATTTGATTATAATTAAAAATGATTATAATTCATTTGATCTATTCGATCAAAGGCATGTAGTTTTTCGTGCTGTACAATTAACCAAGGCCGTTTTGGGACATTAAATTCAAGGCTACTTGCAGACGTCAGAATTATCATTTCACCCAAGGACACTAAGAGTTTTGTTACTAGATTTCATACACGTAGGAAGAGAGTTCTGTGAATTTGCGACCAATGAAGGAAAGGGTACATGAAAAAGGGCTTTAAAAAGTGAACTTAATTTAAGAATTATCCTGAGTGAGTTTGTTTTTACACGTTACCATGACAGTCTCGGGGATATTCTAGAAAGAATATGTGATCTTACTATTCCGTACACAACTTAGTCCACTGCCTATTATTACATCTAATTCGACAATACTCTTCAAAAGCACGTACAAGGTTACCATACTCATGAGTAAGCTTCCTAGAATGAGTTCCGGCAGTATGGAGATGGTTGGAGTAAGGAGCTCCTCTCTGCCACCATGTTCAACCCGAGGATAATGACTAAGGAGGAGGGAACCGGAGCGCTACATGGTAATTGAAACTACTTACATCGCAAAAGGCACTATCAAGTATGTTGAATTTATGTCCTGTCCTGAGTAAAGCTCGACTGTCAAAATGTGCCATGCCGACCATTGTTTCGGGAAATATGTGCGCTGTTTTCTCAGAATAGTGAAGTTAAATGCTTGGTTTCCAAACTTTCCCTTGAGTTGACTGTTGAGCGTGTGTTTAAAAAACAGTTGTTATTGAACTAGGCAGTTAGAATTTAGTGTTTAAGATGGGCTATACCACTGGAAACAGTGAATCGTTGTGACAAGTCAGTAATATGGAATCATCCTGATAATATTTATTCAGAATGGACCATTCTTCAAAATGTAGACATAATTATAATACGACCATGCATATGTATGCAGTACAGAATGGATTAGTCTGTCTTACGCTTGACACAGTTAAAAATGATTGTCTCATAAAACTCGAAGAATATATAGAAGGAATCGCCTTCGAAATACTAAATGTTTTAATACATATTAATATTATGTACATCAATGCCATTGTTATGTAGGGACCCTTGAAGAATGGATCCGATCACAGCAGCTAGATTAGTGCTCAGATTAGAGAATTAATAAATTGGAATGTACATACTTGCATTCAGGCATTTGCTGGAAATTGGCGGTTACAACGCTGTAAGAGATTGCATATTCTTTGTGTTTCTAAGAGATACAGTAATAGTTCCGTATTCTGACATGCAATACATTTGGAGCGTTTTACATACATTAATACTGTTCTTGGACAATGAAACATTGGTAGAGTAACCAATAGTCCCTGGTAGCCGTGGACATTGGCCATGTACCGCCCAATGCAGAGGATGCAGCAGTCTGTATCACCAATTACCACAGTTGACACTGTTAAATTTACCCGGATATAGCGGACTGTATTTTTAGCTTTCCCAATTGTCAGGCAGCCAATCGTTCTAATCTTCTCGACCATTCGCTGAGCTGCGATCGCCAGGTTAGGTCATCTGACTGCCACTTTGTTTCCCAATCTTCTGAAATAATAACGATATCACGAGCGATTATTTTGGTAGATTCAGAATTAGCAGCTGTTAGGAGTTTGGATCTATATGTCTATCGAAATAACGGCTGCTTGTTTTTATCTATACCATCTTGCAACTTCCAATTATTCACACTTCGATGAGCTTTTTCAGTACGGAATTGTCTCTCGCAACATTGCTTTTGGCAAATTGAACAAATTCGAATAACATTTTCTAACAAATAACGTAGCTGTATTTAATTTTATAATTGGAAATTGTTCTTTGTAATGTCGTCATAGACCATATTTTCGAACACTGTACTGCAAGAGTTATAATATCATCATTTTCGCTTTCGTATTTTAAGGTTCGTGAGAAAAAATAAAATGCTCGATGCTTATATACAATCTCAGTTTGACTTTGATCTCACTGCTACTTATCAATTATTCGTTTGCATTTAGATCAAACCAGAGATCTGCAAGATAACATTTACACATTCTACTCCTTAAATCAAAGCGATTAAATATTCGGGTCAATTGCCACGTAATATAATCATGTTATCCTGCTTGATTCAAGTAATTATGTTCAGCATGTAGCTAGTATGTTATCCTGCATGTAGCTGGCATGTTATCCAGCATGTAGCTGGCATGTTATCCAGCATGTAGCTAGTATGTTATCCAGCATGTAGCTAGTATGTTATCCAGCATGTAGCTGGCATGTTATCCAGCATGCAGCTGGCATGTTATCCTGCATGTAGCTGGCATGTTATCCTGCATGTAGCTAGTATGTTATCCAGCATGTATGTAGTATGTTATCCAGCATGCAGCTGACATGTTATCCTGCATGTAGCTAGTATGTTATCCAGCATGTAGCTGGCATGTTATCCAGCATGCAGCTGGCATGTTATCCAGCATGTAGCTGGCATGTTATCCAGCATGTATGTAGTATGTTATCCAGCATGTAGCTAGTATGTTATCCAGCATGTATGTAGTATGTTATCCAGCATGTAGCTGGCATGTTATCCAGCATGTAGCTAGTATGTTATCCAGCATGTAGCTGGCATGTTATCCAGCATGTAGCTAGTATGTTATCCAGCATGTAGCTGGCATGTTATCCTGCATGTAGCTGGCATGTTATCCAGCATGCAGATGACATGTTATCCTGCATGTAGCTGGCATGTTATCCAGCATGTAGCTGGCATGTTATCCAGCATGTAGCTAGTATGTTATCCAGCATGTAGCTGGCATGTTATCCAGCATGTAGCTAGTATGTTATCCAGCATGTAGCTGGCATGTTATCCTGCATGTAGCTGGCATGTTATCCAGCATGTAGCTGGCATGTTATCCAGCATGTAGCTAGTATGTTATCCAGCATGTAGCTAGTATGTTATCCAGCATGTAGCTGGCATGTTATCCAGCATGCAGCTGGCATGTTATCCAGCATGTAGCTAGTATGTTATCCAGCATGTAGCTAGTATGTTATCCAGCATGTAGCTGGCATGTTATCCAGCATGCAGCTGGCATGTTATCCTGCATGTAGCTGGCATGTTATCCTGCATGTAGCTAGTATGTTATCCAGCATGTATGTAGTATGTTATCCAGCATGCAGCTGACATGTTATCCTGCATGTAGCTAGTATGTTATCCAGCATGTAGCTGGCATGTTATCCAGCATGCAGCTGGCATGTTATCCAGCATGTAGCTGGCATGTTATCCAGCATGTATGTAGTATGTTATCCAGCATGCAGATGACATGTTATCCTGCATGTAGCTGGCATGTTATCCAGCATGTAGCTGGCATGTTATCCAGCATGTAGCTAGTATGTTATCCAGCATGTAGCTGGCATGTTATCCAGCATGTAGCTAGTATGTTATCCAGCATGTAGCTGGCATGTTATCCTGCATGTAGCTGGCATGTTATCCAGCATGTAGCTGGCATGTTATCCAGCATGTAGCTAGTATGTTATCCAGCATGTAGCTGGCATGTTATCCTGCATGTAGCTGGCATGTTATCCTGCGTGTAGCTAGTATGTTATCCAGCATGTAGCTGGCATGATATTCTGCATGTAGCTAGTATGTTATCCAGCATGTAGCTGGCATGTTATCCAGCATGTAGCTAGTATGTTATCCAGCATGTAGCTGGCATGTTATCCTGCATGTAGCTGGCATGTTATCCAGCATGTAGCTGGCATGTTATCCTGCATGTAGCTGGCATGTTATCCTGCGTGTAGCTAGTATGTTATCCAGCATGTAGCTGGCATGATATTCTGCATGTAGCTAGTATGTTATCCAGCATGTAGCTGGCATGTTATCCTGCATGTTGCTGGCATGTTATCCAGCATGTAGCTGGCATGTTATCCTGCATGTTGCTGGCATGATATTCTGCATGTAGCTGGCATGTTATCCAGCATGTAGCTGGCATGTTATCCAGCATGTAGCTGGCATGTTATCCAGCATGTAGCTAGTATGTTATCCAGCATGTAGCTGGCATGTTATCCTGCATGTAGCTGGCATGTTATCCTGCATGTAGCTGGCATGTTATCCAGCATGTTGCTGGCATGTTATCCAGCATGTAGCTGGCATGTTATCCTGCATGTAGCTGGCATGTTATCGTGTATGTAGCTGGCATGTTATCCAGCATGTAGCTAGTATGTTATCCAGCATGTAGCTGGCATGTTATCCAGCATGTAGCTAGTATGTTATCCAGCATGTAGCTGGCATGTTATCCAGCATGTAGCTGGCATGTTATCCAGCATGTATGTAGTATGTTATCCTGCATGTAGCTGTTAATTAGGAACTTTTAGTGGGTGGCCCGCCTCCTGGACGTCTAGTATGTGTCGTATGTTGCTACACTTCATGGTATACTAGTTAGCTGTGTCCGTGTTACTGACAAGCTAGTATTACTTGTCGTGTTGATGTTTTGATCCATTGTTCGGCCGAAATGCTGGTGAACT